ACACATATTGGCAAGAAAATAAAAAAACTACAAAATTTAGTATTTTTTGTGTGTGTGTTAATACACATATATTCACCAAAAAAAATTAAAAAAACTCAAAAATTTTATATTTTCTTGTGTGTGTTAGTACATACATATTGGCAAGAAAATAAAAAAACTACAAAATTTAGTTTTTTTTTGTGTGTTAATACACATATCTTGTCACTTGCAGAATAGATGCTGCATGGAAAAGAGGAAAGAATGTGGTGGGACTGGGTTGGGTCTTTATGATCATCTCAAAACACTCTCAGGTTGTGGAATTCGTAAGCTCCATGTTGATGGTGGAAGCATTTGCGATTCGAGCGGCGCTAAACCAAGAATTCACCTGGATCAGAATTGAATTGGACTCAAGCCAAACCATCATTTTGTTGATATTGAAATCGTTCCTCTTGGAGATATTTGGAATCTCATCAGACATCATCTACCTAAAGGCTGTGTTTGAATTTATTAATAGTGATTTCCTAAAAATCTTTACAAGATAGTAGAAAAAAGAGCCACAATAATAGAGCAGACGAATCTTCCAACACAAAGTAACCAAAAATGGTATAGAAATGCTGAAATTTGTTACTTTAGTAAAAATTAGGTGGTTGAAACAAAAACAGGAGAAGAAACTAAGTGGATGAAACTCAAGACTCGGGTCTGAGAACGTTTTTTACTCTCTCTAATAGAATCTTTCTTAATCTATGTACACTATGTTCGCTTATAACTGCAATGAAATAAGTTGTTAATTATTAGACTGGAAATAAAATGTGGCCGGCCCTCCATGAATTAAGGGTTGAAATTACAATACGGATAATTTAGGATCTATTAATATATAGAAGTTTAGTTTGCACCGACCAATTGTTCCACATAATTACAAAAACTAATCCAACGAGCTCCCACTCACTCGAGAATAATTAGGTAAAGGTAATCATATTCCCGAATCCCGAGCCCTTCAGAACAGTTTGATGATGATTTTTGTTTTATCTAAGCAGTACCACAACACCATTTCAAATAGAGGATAAAAATTAAAAAAAAAATCTGACTAAATAATCTCATGTGTTGACAATCTTCTTTTTTTTGTTCAAAGTATTGACAATCTCTTTTTAGATATGTTACAAGAAATTTAGTTGGAAAAAGATGTGGACTGTCTTTTCCTTAGTCGGGATTATAATTTACAAGTAGATATGGAAAATAAAAGGATGAATAAAAAGGAATATTTCATAAAATAAAATATTTTTATTAATGTTAATGGAATTTGGGAATATGGAATAATAGAAATGAAGATGAGACGAGAGAGAGTGGTTTCTTAATCAGGGCCATGCAGCAGAAGCAGAAGCAGGAGCAGCACATGCTCCATTTCTCTAACTCATCCACTTTTTGTTAACATTGATTGATTCTCTAAGATCATCCATCAATACATGTCTTTTCATGTTTACAATATATGCGTGGGAATATCGCGTTCCCTCCTGATATTTTATAGTCCGGATGATACTGACACATGTCGATGCTCTCTTTTTAAAAATTAAATCTATGGTTTCGTTTATTTCTACCGACGATAAAGATTTTATAGAATATATATTATCTTAGCATCTATAGGGTACTGTTCGACTAGATTAAATGGGAGCTGTATATCAATTATTTGTTTATTCTTCAAATATAATAGATTCGTTTTTTTTTGCCCGATTAACATTTTCTTCGTAAAGAAACAATTTGAAGTTTTTTTATGCCGAGCATATAAATACTAGATAGTTAAAAAAAAAAATCGGAAACAGAGCATATACATACTTTTCCTGGTATATATTTAGTCTCTTTGGTTTTGGTTGAAGTTGAACTATGAATGTTTATGTTCTACTATGGTTCTATTAGATGTTACCAACTCTATACTACATATCGTAGAGAATATATATGAAAAGTCTTGAGGTCTCCTTCAAAATCCACTGGGTATATTATAAAACTATGGATATATTCTAAATCAACTTAATTAAAATTTTCGGTTGGATCTTTAATAAAATCTTCTTTTTATAGCAATGTGCACTGGATAATGCGGTTGCGGCCACTTTATTGGAGATGGCCAATGGAGCCATAAAACCAGGACAAACTTATATTCTTTTGATTTGTTTATATCATTAAGCATAAACTATAGCGACACATTTCTTTAGAATTGCATTTTTAAAACATTTGATACCATCAGTGAGAAGAAAAACACTTGATACCATCGCATTATGTCAAGACTCGAGACAATGCTTTTTGGAAATTTTTAATTACAAGAAGCTTTAATTGTGAAAATTATTACTATATGATATCCATAATAGTTAGCAAGCTCATCATCATATATCAACTTGCCTTGCATATAAACCCATTATATATGTTACCCTCTGATTTAGCTAAGAGCATTAAGTAAGAATGTGTTTTGAGTCATATATAATATACATGTAAATGCTATGGAAAATAAATAAATATCACCTCAGAGATTACAAGTTATTACAAAGGGAAGCGATTCCAAAGGAATATCTTCCGTTCTGTACTCTAGTCTTATTCTTTGTTTACAACCCCTCTCCATGCATTCCTCTTGTTTATATATTTATTGCTTCCTGTCTAAGTTTTGTGAATCCTGATCATCTCTCTTTCTAGCTAAGTGAGTAGTCGACTAGTAGGTATTATACGTGGGCGTTGGAGCAGAGAAATGGGTTTGAGGTCCATCATATCGACCATCACATACTGTTTGTTCCTTCGCTATCCACACAGGAAGCCAAAGGTCAAAAGTGTGAGCCATCTCAACTATTACCACACCATGCCAAGGGCTCGTCCACTTTCTTTACAGGTATTCTCTTTCTTTTCTCTTTTAGTTAACCCCAATTTTCATAATTTCATGTCTATAGCTTAGTCTCTGCTCGACCGTTCGTGAAGTTAGTTTGTCATAAATTTAAAACAGATGTTCATAACAATAACATCGGTATCAAAACCTTTCTTATGATATGCCACTAATTAATGGAATTAAGTGTAGCTGCCTTACCTTAATTATGTGCTCTTGGGGCATCTCTTTGAATGGTTTCGCACCTAAGTCTCTCACAAATATGAAAAAGTTAGATGAGAAATTATTGATGGAGATGGTTTTAGTTTTGCGAATTTTTCAAGAAAACGCTAGATGAGAAAACAAATGGGCAGATCAGATTCTTGCCAACAAAAAAAAAAGAATAATAAAGTACTGTGTTCAAGTGTTTATTTTTTTCTCTGTCTGTTAAAAATAGACTTTTGGTTTTTTTTATTGATTCGTTAAGTGGAATCGGACAAAACAGAAGCGAACTGTCATAAGTTTGTCTCACTAGTGGATATTGCTATAATTATAATATTTTTGGTTGATTCAGCATATATATACAAATGTTCTTCTAGTTACATGTGTATCACATATTAAAACTAATTAATTAGTTTGTAACATATGAATGCTGTGATAAATATGCTACAAAATAGACGATAGACCTGAAAGTAAGGATGTGCTGCAGTGGGTGCGAGAGGGTAGTCAAGCATGCCATTTACAAGCTGAGAGGTAATATTAAGTGTGTGTTTTGGAGAAAGAAAGTAAAATAAAATAAAAATTAGTGGATATGAAAAGAGAAGTTACATTAAATGGCGTGGTGTTGGTGAAGGGGTGGACTCGGTGGAGGTGAACCTAGAGATGGAGAGAGTGACGGTGGTTGGATACGTGGAGAGGAAGAAAGTGCTAAAGGCGGTGAGACGAGCCGGTAAGCGAGCCGAGTTCTGGCCCTACCCGGACATGCCTCGCTACTTCACTTCCTCCGACCACTACTTCAAAGACACAACCCGCGAGTTTAGGGAGAGCTATAACTACTACCGCCATGGCTACAACCTCAGCGACCGTCACGGTCACATCCACGTCACTAACCGTGGCGACGACAAAGTCAGCAACTTCTTTAACGACGACAACGTCCACGCTTGTCGCCTTATGTGATCGATCTTCCATCTTTTTTTATATAATATCCACTCCGATCCTCTTGTATATTAGTATATGTGCATGTATTTGTATGTGTTTCTACATGTTGTATTTTCTGTAGGGTTGATTGGTTGGTCTGCATGAGATAACCTCCAATAGTCCTTCATTTAAAGAAAAAACATCAAAAAGTCAAGGAAAGTTTTCTCCAAAATTATTTCATTTTGAGGAAAAAAATGAGATTGTGAATAGTATTTCCTCGTATTTGTTTATCTAGTTGGGTATTCATAGTTGTCCTTGTATATTGTAAACGTTTTGCATTTTTCTTTTAGCCTGTTTGTGGTTGTTTTTGAATTCGGCAAAGTTGGACTCATGGTGTTTAGTTTGCAAACATACAATAGTTAAATCAATGTTAGTGGGTCGGCTCGCTAATCCGCTGGATTTTGTGGGACGGACCTGGAATATGTATACGGACTAGGGATCGGGTTTGATGGACGAGGATCAGCCTGTTTGATATCATTATAGTTAGGATCTAAAGTGTTTAGGTTGGTACTAAAAAGGCCCATAATTAATTTTTCTTTACCCAAAGAAACATTTGGGCCGAGCCTGAAAATTAGATTAGATAGTGGGCTTTCAAAACGAAATATGGAATGTTGTTTGTTGTAATATTCGAACTAGACATATGTATATATATTATTATTATGTGGTCGGAGTCGGACATGAAAGTATGAAACCAGTCCTTTATGGGGTGGATGAATGTAAGTCAAAACCGGTTGGTGGGACCGGAATCTTCGGAAATCGGAACCACTAACCCAAATTCATTTATTTGATAGTTCGCCTGTTGGCAAAAAAAAAAGAATGTATTACACTATTAATAGTTCCGCAATTGTTGACTCATTTCACTAAAAAAAAGTGTATCGAACAACTCGAGTTGAAATGTCGAATGCACCGTTACGATAACCACATTCCAACGTCAATACTCTTTTTTAATGTTTTCATTAATTTTTTTATTTCCTTAATACTGTATATAAAGGAAACATTTAGTATTAGTTTCTGTTCTTGGTCGAGAAAAGAAAAAAAAAAAAGTAAGGGCGAAGAAAAAGGCCAAACAAGGCGTTACGCAGCCAGGCGTTGGTGGTGGTCGAGATCCGGCGTCGTCGGGTTTCCTCCTCCTCCGATGACAATGATGAAGATATCGAGCGGCGTGTTCGCTTCTGTCATTGCCTTCTCCACCGCTGCTCTCTCTTCTTCCTCCACTCTCCCTCCAATCTCCCCCAAGGTTTCCTCTTTTTAGCATTTGCGATTACAGATCTGCTCTTATCGAATTGTTGCTCGGGGTCTCATATGATATCTGTTGAATTGAAATGAATGAGCAGGGCTGGGAATCGAGGAAGACGATTGGTTCGGAGAAATTGGAGCCGAAGTTTGATGGGTTGAGGTTCATAGAGACGCTGGTCACAGCACACAGATAGATTCGTATCAATATCAATTTGCCCGGGTGGTGCAAAAGCTTTGAGACAGAGCGTGAGTGCGTCACTTGGGTCTTGTCTTGTTGTCTTCTATTTTACAAAGGTCTTTTCTTTTACCTCCCTGTGTATTGAGAATTGTAACTTCTTTGTTGCCCCTTTGCTTCAAGGGATATGCTAAATTGAGAGCAATCGACTGCCATTCAGTTTTGCTGTTTCATATTTATTGCCGATTGCATTTTGGTGTGCATCTGTAGTTTTATTAGCCAAACATGTGCATATGTCTGATTTGGTGTTTGCAAAAACACTGTGAGTTTGGGGTAAAATGGTCAATTAAACCTAGGAGGATTCAGTCAAATCTGGTTTAGTTTGATTTGTATTGGAAATAGTAAAACTAGTTGAAGCAATAGAGGGAAGATTGCCATATGTTTGGTTGAGGCATGTTGAAAGACAAGTCAAGAGTTAGTTTGTGTCTTTCTCCATGTAGCTGCTGTCCCAAATACCCATCAAGTGTGTTGTAATAAGAGCAGAGCATCAAGAGAAGAAGAAGAAGACAAGAATGATCTGTCATGAGAAGTAAGAATCCGAGAGCAAGCAAATGGCAATTAAAAGAAGAAAGATGCTCCCTCTCTCTCTCTCTCTCTCTGCTCCAGAGACACTGACTTCCAGCTCATCCAAACCAACATTACTCTCTCTCTTTCTTCTTTTTCATTATTTGTTTATTACTGTTTGTTTACTTTGAAATTTAGTGAATCCTAACGCTCTGGTCCCATCCCTGCCTCCTCTATCATTCATACAACCACTCACTTCTTTCTCTCTCTCTCTCTACTCCTCACTTCCATCCATGGCGTCTTCCCAGATCCCTTTCTCTATGTTGTGCGTTGCCCTCCTCTTCTTCTCTCTTCCTCTCATCGTCTCCTCCATTGGCATCAACTATGGCCAGGTCGCCAACAATCTTCCTCCTCCCAAGAACGTCATCCCTCTCCTCAAGTCCGTAGGCGCCACCAAAGTCAAGCTCTATGACGCCGATCCACAGGCCCTCCGTGCCTTTTCCGGCTCCGGCTTCGAGCTCACAGTCGCACTCGGCAACGAGTACCTGGCCCAGATGAAAGACTCCGACAAAGCCCATGATTGGGTGAAGCAGAACGTCCAGGCTTACCTCCCGGGCACCAAGATCGTGGCCATCGTGGTCGGCAACGAAGTCCTCACCTCCAATCAGTCAGCCCTCACGGCCGCCCTCTTCCCGGCGATGCAGAGCATCCACGCCGCTCTTGTGGACTGCGGCCTGAACAAGCAGATCTTCGTGACGACGGCGCACTCGCTGGCCATCCTGGACGTCTCCTATCCTCCCTCGGCCACCTCCTTCCGCCGTGACCTCCTGGGCTCCCTCACTCCCATCTTGGACTTCCACGTCAAGACTGGCTCCCCAATCCTCATCAACGCCTACCCTTTCTTCGCCTACGAGGTGAACCCCAAGCACGTCTCTCTCGACTTCGTCCTCTTCCAACCAAACCAGGGCTTCACCGATCCTGGCTCTAATTTCCACTACGACAACATGCTCTTCGCCCAGGTCGACGCCGTCTACCACGCCCTTGACGCCGTCGGCATCAGCTACAAGAAAGTCCCCATTGTCGTCTCCGAGACCGGATGGCCCTCCAACGGCGACCCGCAGGAGGTTGGGGCCACCTGCGACAATGCTCGCAAGTACAACGGGAATCTGATCAAGATGATGATGAGCAAGAAGATGAGGACGCCCATTCGACCCGACTGCGATCTCACCATCTTCGTCTTCGCTCTCTTCAACGAGAACATGAAGCCTGGGCCCACTTCCGAGAGGAACTACGGTCTCTTCAACCCGGATGGCACTCCGGTTTACTCCCTCGGGATCAAGACCTCCTCCGGTGGTAGTGGTGGCAGCAAAAACTCTACCGGTGGAGGTAGTAGCAGTGGCGGCAACACTGGTGGCTCACCCGGCGGTGGTGGTGGCATCTACACGCCAGGGATCACGGAGAACCCTTCACCGGATTACATGTCCATTTCCTCCGCCGGGGTAAAGTTTTCGAATTTACACCTGATTTGTCTTTTTTACACTTCCAATATTGCATCTGCCATTCTCTTAAGACAATTAGGTCTAGTGGGTGCTTACTGCTTAGGCGGATGAATTTATCTCTCTTTATCTATTTTTTGTTTCTTTTTAAAAAGAAATAAATTAGAGGATCGAATGAATGAAGGATTAGCATTTAAGTGTACTCTGTTGCGGTAAAGTTTGCGACTTTCGGTTAAAGTTGGAATCTTTTTCTAGACTTGGCAAACTGTTAAAAAAGTCGAACTCGGTGACAATTGTGTTTTGTACTGGCTATCACGTGGAGATGACTCTTGTTTGGTCACTTTTGTCTGAAATATCATTCAAATTGATTGCCTCATTTTTGACTTGTTGACCTTTGTTAAAAAAATGCCAAGGAATGAGTGACATAGGCAGCTTGTTTTTGGTTGTTGACGTTTTGCAGGGAAAAAGCAGATCCGTTGAGTTTGTGTTCTTCTTCCTCTTGCTTTGCATCATCAAGCTTCGGCTGTAATAGGTCCCCAAGCTAGATCTCGGCTCTGTACCTTTGATCGGGTGATGACGTGAAATAGCACCACTGTACCTTTGATCGGGTGATGACGTGAAATACCCCCAAATTAAAATTTAATTAGTTTGTGTTGGTGTTTGGTCGGAGGCGTCTTTCTATATGTGGAGCGTGGATTTAGGAAACTCACCATCTTTGTTATGTGCCTACCTCTCCTCTCTCCAACCCTTTTTTCATCATCATTTTTTTCCTCTTTTGGTCTGTGGACTTGTTGAAGCATAGATATTAAAATAATGAAAGCTTAGTTCATTTGATTTTTTCTAAAGATGGATGGCCTTCCATGATAATAACTTGAGACAAGAGTGTAGCAGACAGAATCTTGGCACAAGCAACAAGTGCGATCCTTCGTTCCTTTTTTTAATAAATCACCTCCCCATTCAAACACCTCACTTCCTCAAACTTTTATGTTTATGCGACCATTCAATGTAATCTCTTCCAGCGCAAACCAACCATACACTAGCAACTCAATGAGCTGTGTCACTTCGGAATAAATACAAATGCAATAAGACACAATCATGTTTGCACAAAGTTTGTTTACTTTCAAGCTGTTTGCTTGCTCAACCTAGTTATCTAATTAGCCATTTTGTCAATCATATGAAAAGCAGGGTCTCGGCATAAGTATAAAGCACCAAGCGATGTATGTATGTAACCATTAATACACAATAATACTATGCAATTGATAAGACATTCATCGGAGTCTATAGAGGAGTCCTAACAACTCAAGTAAACAAAACAGGTATTGCATTCTAAGAAAGATAAATTTAAGAGGAAAAAGAAGCAGAGAAGAGAAGCCGGTTTACCAGATAGGTCCTGATAATGATCCGGTTCCTGTCAAACAAAAGTATGCTATCTTCACATGGATCACTGGCTTACAATTCAAACTCGTCTTCAAGCTTCAGGGCCTCGGCTGCAGCCTCTTCTTCGTCATCATCAACAACAAAGTATGGGTTATGCACCTCTGGCCTGAACTTGTAGCCGGTAAACACGTAGAATGCAAGAGTGGCCAGCTCGCTAGCAACAACACTAGTCCACATATACTTGTAAGAGGTAATGGTCTCCAGTGCATAGACGACAACGCGGGTGAAGTAGATATAGCAGATAACCACAATGTAGTACTGCCTAAACAGGGTTAGCTTGACGAGGTTCACAGCAGCCTTCCCGTCGGTCTTGGCCGCCTCGCGCAAGTTTTTGATGGACCACACAATGGGGAAGAGGACAGCGCAGCAGCAGACGACATCAACAAGCAAAAAGATCTGTTTCCACGTGACCCAGTCCTGGCCGTATGGCCCTGTCTCGTCGATGACGACCTGGGCAAAGTTGGCGACAACCTGGAGGGGAATGACAATCATCAAGACCTTCTTTTCCTTGTCCTGCAGGTAGGGCTTCAAGAAGGACCATCCCGTGCCGATCAAGACGATGAGGGTGAAAAGAGTGATGCCCTTGAGGAAGTTGAAGATGTAGAACAAGACATCCCAGCCGTGGGCGTTGCCGGTTTTCTTAATGTAGGATTTATCCTCGGCCTCGCAGAGAAGGTTCAGGGCCTTGAGGACAACAACGCCGAGCATGAAGAAATGGATGGCGAAAACGGTGAGGCGTTTCCGGTAGAGGACGTAGATCCACGTGGCAGCGAGGGAGAAGTAGATGACAGAGAAGAGGAAATAGACCTTAGGAAGGACGGTTCTGCCGGCGGAGAGGTAGTCGCGGCCGCCCTTCTTGCCTTCGAGGTTGTACATGGCGGATCTGACGTCCATGCTGACCTTGACCTGCTGGAGGCAGTTGGCAAAGACCAGGGAGTACTGATCTGCGTCGTTCTCGGTGAAGACGGTGGAGAAACTGGAATTCTTGTTGAGATTGTTGAAGGTGAAGACATGCTTGACCAGATCGGACTGGAGGGCGCAGGTGATCTCTTCTTCCTCGAGCTGCTGGATCACGTGGACCCAGGCGTCCCTGGTGCAGAGGAAGAAGCCGACCTTGGAGAGATCGAGGTCCGGGTTGTTGTTGGAAAGCGAGATCTTGGAGGCGTCGAGCTCGAGGCGACCCGAGTGAGTGAACCCGAATTCGTCCAAAGGGATGATGGGTCGGTCATCGGATCGGATCTCTGATTTGCGGATCTCAGCAAAGGCCGAGGAGATGGAGAGGAAGACAAGGACGGCGACAAGGATCGATGAGAGGCGACAAGAGAGATCCATTCCTAGGGTTTCGTTATTTCGAGAGATGAGCAGCGAGAGCTCGGATCCAAATTTTGACAAAAGAGATGCAGAGAATTCGATCTCAGATCTAACTTTTTCTTCTCCCTAGCTTGTGCCTTCCGCTGAAAACGGTTGAATTACCAAATTAATTAAATACCTTTCTTTTGTTTCCTTTTAAATCAATTTAGTCAAACAATTACCCTCGTTTATATTATTAGCAACAACAAGAGAGAGAGAAGCAATTTCCTTCCTTCGTCATTAAGGGACTAACTAAAACAAAACTCAAAGTCAAGCAGAGAAATCTTTGGTTTGGTTACAAAAACAGGAAGCAAGAGAAGTTGATGACTTCAATTGGTAATCCAACCTCTAGAGAAACAAAATCATTTCAATTGGTAATCCAACCTTTGCTTTTTGTGCAGCGACTCAGCGAGAGTTATGCAACTGATGTTTAAGCCTTGCCTGAGCTACTATGTAACTATGTGGTTTTCTACTCTTCAAAATTATTCAGTAAGTATATTGCGATTCCTGTTCCTAACTCACGTTAGAAAAAGACTATGCTGAGAAAGCCATGGCTGTTACACAAGGTTTGTTGTGGAGCAAGTTGACAAGTACATGGCGATAGCTCAAGTTCCAAAAACCATATTGCTCATTTATCAGGAAGATGGTCTCAAAGAAGCAAATGGTCTAGTGTAGAAGAGAGTTTTCCCATTATATTTTCTCGCACAAGAAGATGTTGACTGTTGCCTCATGCCTCATGGTGACTGATTGATAATTCACAGAGAACACACCATGTTGAAATGAAAACAGAGGATACAAAGTTATGAGCTATATACATATCATCAACAAGAACAAAAATATTAAGAAATCTGATCAAGACATAATATAAGAAAAAGTAGGTTCTGTTGTTCGAACCGTTAACAATAGTAGACATGAACAAAGAAAAAAAAATACAATACGCATTCAAAATTTCAAAATTTTCATATACAGTAGCTCTTGTCTTCTATAGTTTCTCTTTTTTGATTTTCTGAATAAACAATCATAATTCTCCCCAACGTCTCTTATCTTTTGAATCCCCAATGTTTGGACCGTTGGCTAGGAGGCATGAAAGTGTTCGTGGTCCACATGCAATCACTTTTTCGATAATCTTTTTTTTATTACATACTCACTCATCGAATACCGATTTCAGCCTACATATATTCTTTTTTCTTGATAAAATAGTTGTATGTTTAATAAGTTTAACTCTCTCTATATATTACAGTATATGGTGGGTGTGGACAATGTAGAGAATAAGAAACATACACCTCGCCGTCTTTGTAGTACCGAAGTAAACGCCGTGCCGTTTCGCTTATTTTTCCAAAATCAATTGGAGAAAAAAGGAAGAGAAAAAGTAAAAACCACCTTCCTTGGCTTTAATATATATATATATATATAAACCGCTTTTCTTTTCCACAAGGAAGAAAAACACTCGCAAATTCTCTCCTCTAACTCAAATTCGAAAACTATCTCCTCTCTCTCTCTCTCTCTCTCAGATTGAACCTGTATCTCACCGTCGCAGATCTACTCCTGCTGGTATAATTTTCCCCGGCGGAGATATTAGATCTTGCCGATCTGCTCTAGCTGCTACTGTAATATTCTCGGCGCAGCCTTTTGGGGTCGGAAAGGAGCAGTAGAGGACGATGGAGAATCTGATCTCTCTGGTTAATAAGATACAGAGAGCTTGCACGACTCTCGGAGACCATGGTGACTCTAGCGCCCTCCCAACTCTATGGGATTCCTTGCCTGCGATTGCCGTCGTTGGTGGCCAGGTTTGAATCTCGATCCCCTTCCCCCTTGTTCAAATCCGCTGTGTGCTTCAAGATCCATCTCACCTTCTCTTGGCCTAAACTTGGTTTTCCTCGATGTTTAATCTAATTTTCGCTGTGTAACCTGTACTGCGTGCAAGCGATTTGGTATCGTGGAATGTGGACTTGGGTTTGACTTGGATATCGTCGTCACTACTCCTTCGTAAACCATTTAAGACTTTTTCCCGCTGAATTTTTACCGAGTATCCTTGTTGTGTTACCAGAGCTCAGGGAAGTCTTCAGTCCTGGAGAGCATTGTTGGAAAGGACTTTTTACCCCGTGGATCTGGTCAGTAATCACAGTTCTTGCCTAGCTTTGGATTCAGTTTGCTTCTTCCCTTGTGTCATGTAAAATATGCATTTGCGGATATCTATTGGTAGGTATCGTCACTCGAAGGCCCCTTGTCCTACAGTTGCAAAAGATTGATGATGGAACCCGGGAGTACGCAGAGTTTCTTCACCTCCCGAGGAAAAAGTTCATCGATTTTGGTGGGTTCGGTTGTCCCATTTGACCTTCTCTCCTATATTTGCATATTTCATTGGTTTTGCTTACTTCAATCACCTCTGTAGCTGCTGTGAGAAAGGAGATTCAAGATGAGACTGACAGAGAGACTGGACGCAGCAAGGCGATTTCTAGCGTCCCCATTCACCTTAGCATATACTCTCCCAAGGGTTAGGATTGAACTCAAAATCTCTTTCTAATTCTACTTTTTGCTTTTGGAATGTATATTCTCTTAACTTCTTTTCTCTTTGCTATGTGTGCAGTTGTCAACTTGACATTGATTGATCTTCCGGGGCTTACAAAAGTTGCTGTTGGTAAGTTACATTAGCTGCACTCCATGCTATGGGGCATGAGGCAATAGACTTCTTTTCTCTACCATAGATCGTTTAGCATGACACGACAACTTTCTTTTGGTCGATGCAGAGGGACAATCTGAAAGTATAGTGAAGGACATTGAAAACATGGTTCGGTCCTACATTGAAAAGGTAAAAGAAATCCTTAGTCGCACACCGTTAATGTTTTATCGACAGCTTATTGCCAGTCTAATTTATGTTGGGTCATGCATAATTATTCTCCTTGCATTCTTTTTTTTCTGTATAGCAAACGAGTTGACATTCTTCCATTTTATGTATGATATTATTTCCTTATAGCCCAACTGCATCATTTTGGCAATTTCACCTGCAAACCAAGATCTTGCTACCTCAGATGCAATTAAAATTTCCCGTGAGGTTGATCCATCGGGTAAGCAAACCATTCATTTTCCTACCAAAGAGACCCCCATCGCGCTATGTTTCTTATACTCTTTGTGATCTCCACAGGGGAGAGAACATTTGGTGTCTTGACCAAGATTGATCTTATGGACAAGGGGACCGATGCAGTGGAAGTAAGTTGCCTTGCCAAATAATTGAATAATAACTGTACTATAAGCTGCAATTACTGTAACTAAAACGTCTAGGAAACGCAGAATGATCTTTTTGTAAATAGACGTATGATATGATGTTCTAGCTACACCATGCTAATTTTTGTAGTTACATCATTTCTTTATTGTGTGCACTGGTACTAACCGAATGATGTTTTTTGCTCAGATTCTGGAAGGGAAATCTTTCAAACTCAAATATCCATGGGTTGGTGTTGTCAACCGCTCCCAAGCAGATATTAACAAGAATGTCGACATGATTGCGGCTCGCAGAAGAGAGAGGGAGTACTTTTCCAATACTACAGAGTATAGGCACCTTGCACATAAAATGGGTTCCGAGCATTTGGCAAAAATGCTCTCCAAGGTAAGTGCTTTCACGAGGATTGATGTAGGTTTCTTCACTAGGGTTTAGAAATTAGAATAATAAACGCATTCCGAAATTTGTAAGGACTGGTAAATAGGAGTTTCTTTGGATTAGTAAGGATCCAAGGCAAGTGTTTTCACAAAGATTGGTGCTAATTTTCTTAGGAAGCGAACACAACGAGAAGATAGATATAAGTATCACAAGAACCTACTAGGAAGCTAGGAATTTCGTGGCAGTACTCAACACGTTTCTATATAATACAACCATCAGCTGCTGTGGTTGAAAGAGAGTCTAACTACAACATTTCTGATTTTGTGTACAGCATCTAGAACATGTGATCAAGTCAAGAATTCCAGGCATCCAGTCGCTTATTAACAAAACAGTATTAGAGCTGGAATCTGAACTAAGTCGCCTTGGAAAGCCTATTGCAGCTGACGCTGGGGTAAGATTGTATTCTTTTGTCTTTGATTTGTATTCTTCGTGATTGTATTCTTCGTTATCAAGATTTAATCATTATTTTGGTGCAGGGGAAACTGTACTCAATAATGGAGATATGTAGACTTTTCGATCAAATATTCAAGGAGCATCTCGATGGAGTGTACGTTTTTACCATTTTTTAATTAAACCATGAGCTGTTATACTGTCTGAGTTGATATGACGACTCTTAATTAATTTGAAAATTACAAAAAAAACAAATCATATATATATAATTCTGAGCCTATGGTTGATGACACAGGCGTGCTGGTGGTGAGAAAGTGTATAACGTGTTTGATAACCAGCTTCCGGCAGCTCTGAAGAGACTTCAGTTTGACAAGCAGCTAGCAATGGACAACATCCGCAAGCTGGTCACGGAGGCTGACGGTTACCAGCCTCACTTGATTGCTCCTGAGCAAGGTTACCGTCGTCTCATTGAGTCTTCTATTGTCTCCATCCGAGGCCCTGCTGAAGCATCTGTTGACACTGTACCAACTCTTAACTTGCATCTCTAAAATTAAATGAATCAGTAACCTAACCAAAACAAAGTAACAAGGGTTTCTCATTTTTTTGTGGTTTTAATATTACCAGGTTCATGCCATCTTGAAGGATTTGGTTCACAAGTCTGTGAATGAGACGGTGGTACGTTCTCTTCTTCTTTTAGTAGTATATATATCTCCAACGTCTTTGATTGGTCCAGTGTTATAGACGGCTCGAACATGTGCAGGAATTAAAGCAATACCCAGCTCTGAGAGTGGAGGTGACAAACGCGGCCATAGAGTCGCTGGACAAAATGCGGGAGGGAAGCAAGAAAGCAACACTACAGCTGGTGGACATGGAGTGCAGCTACCTCACTGTTGATTTCTTCAGGAAGCTTCCCCAGGATGTTGAGAAGGGTGGTAACCCCACGCACTCCATTTTCGACCGCTACAACGACTCCTATCTCCGACGAATCGGTAAGTTAAAGCACATATCTCTTTATTCTGTTGCGGTATACATTCCGACCTGACACATCTGGCAACAGGATCCAATGTTCTGTCTTACGTGAACATGGTCTGTGCTGGCCTGCGGAATTCAATCCCTAAGTCCATCGTCTACTGCCAAGTCCGAGAAGCCAAGCGCAGCCTCCTTGACCATTTCTTTGCCGAGCTCGGTACCATGGACGTAAGTTCTCTTTGGCCTTTTTTTATTTTATCTTAAACATTTTTAAAAAGTGTGTCATCGGGTGAACAATGACTGAAACAAAGCTGGTGAATTCCATTTCCAACAGATGAAGAGGCTCTCGTCGCTGTTGAACGAAGATCCAGCGATCATGGAGAGACGCAGCGCCATATCTAAGCGGCTGGAGTTGTACCGAGCTGCCCAATCAGAGATCGACGCCGTCGCTTGGTCCAAGTGAAACCGGTATGACATGCCGACTGTTTTGCTCGGTTCTGGTCGGTGTGGTTCAGATCCAGAAGAGATATTTAGGTTGTGTGATATCTATAAGATTATTATCCCTGGAAGACGAGACCATGCGGCCTCGTTGTATTACTTCATAACAATGTTTGTTCTGCCTCTTTGTTTGTGTTCGTTATTGGCCATAATTCGATATGCCTGAGCTCTTGACATATCGATGATATTTACTTGTTATGTAGAGATCTTTTGGTGTGATAAACTTTCTACTTGCAGGAAATTAGTATTCTCTGTTCCTCAATCTTGTGCGACAGAATTGGGCTTTAGTAGTAGTTTGCCTTTGTTATTGAGAATTACAAACTGATGGACACAACTAACGAGAAAGGCTGTCCGCACACTAGACGGTTGTCGTTTCCAGATACCTGTCGACTCTGTCATAACCTTGACTAAACCAGACCCGAAAACCCGTGACATCGAGTTGGACCTGGACAGAGTGAACAACGCAGTGAAAGTAGGGGAAGAGCCGGTTCAGCTGATGAATCATTTCTCTACAAAGCTAATAGTAAACCGGAGGTTTGGTTTCCGACATCTTCGTTTTTGTTTATTCCTTCTCTTATTCGTAATCGTACCGAACCAGACCCAAACCTAACCGAAAGATGGTTTATATGGTTTTTGATTGCGATTGCGATTTTGTAATGTTTTTGTTTGTTTGGGGTTTGCCATTTCTGAATTTGTGGCCATTCATTATCATCGTTCTGCTCGAGATGGCGAGTTCCCTTTCTTCAATCTCTCTACCGCGATGTTTCATCGCCAAGAACGGTAGTCAGAAATCAAGCCCGTGGCTTTATCAGCCGTGGACGGGCTCGAGCAGTCTCATCCTCAACAACTCCTCAAAGCATCATCATCATCGTCCACTATCTTCTTCTTCGCCGGCTTCCACCGTAGAAACTGATGACGATGACGACGACCTCACTTTCAGGTGTACCCTCTTTTGCCTTTCTCTCCATCGATTCTATTGGAAATCTCACAGCTTTTAAACAGTGATTCCATTGATTCAATCGCAGACTCATTTACTAAAAAATCAAAAACAATCATAATCAGATTAATTGTTGTCGCTATGCCAAGTTATGGTAGACGAATTGCAGAATAAACAAACGCAATGAAATATCTAGAGTCACGGCTAAACAAAAAAGATATGCGTCGTCTCTAGACTAACAGCAGAGGAATAATGAACAGTGGCTGCAGAGGGTGCGGGAAGGAGGAGAAAGAGAGTGGATGTAACGGGGACGGGCGGATTCAAGGCGGCATTGCAACTGTCCCCGGTTTCGGCTGGTGGCCCATCAAGGCTTACCGGCCTTGTCCCGCGTTTGTGGAGGCCGGAGGTAGATACCGCCGCATAGGCCAGAGCATGGACGAGGTTGCCTTTGGTCGTGGAGACTCTACTTCCACCACCGCTTCGCAGCTTAGGTAATACTATGCATAAATTACAATACACTCAAATTGTGCAGAGTCACCGTACCAGTTTCTTACTTGAAAAGTAAGGGGATAGCTATTCATTTCTAAATAAGTAGAAATGCCTTTTAACATTACATAGAAAATATTTAACACAAAATGAACGTGCTGCATAGGAATGATCTCTTGCTTCTCTCGTGTTGTGTTGGTTTTTTCTTTGCAGTAAAAACAATCTAAAGTCGTAGCAAGTGAAATAGTCAAAGTCCCAAGTTCAAACGAAGAAAGACTTTTTTTCTTTTTGTCATTTGTAATTTTGTTCCTTGGGTTGATCCAAAAGTGATGAAAGATTTTAATAGATTCATTGTTTGTCCTGTCGCTTGTCCATAAATGTTTAGAATCTGTTTAAGATACAAAGGTCTGAATTAAAACGAGATCCAATCATGTCGATGAGACGGTTGAATTTGGATGCAAGTGTGTATCCGGATATGATTCTTTTGCCACAGAAGCATGAGGCCTTTGGAGAAGGAAGACGAATCGGTTACTGCCTTTGGACACCGGAACCGTTTTACCGGTTACTGGATGGTGTACTACGCTTAGTCATCTTACGTTCTTAAGAGTGTTTCAGTTTGTTCCCGTTATAGGGATTTAGCAAAAAAAACTCTTTGCAAGAAGTTTGGTTTCTATTCAATAAAGTGTCCAAAATTTAGCAGAAAGAAAACAAATTAAATTCGTAAAATGTTTGTTTCGAACAGCACGGACAGAATTCAAATAATGTAAAAGAAAGATAAGACAAGGTGAGAAGAAAAAGAGCAACAGATAGTAGTAATATATATACACAAATGGGTCGAGTTCAGCTCATTTTACCATGTAACTTTATTTACTTTACACAAACAAGTGGGAGATGATTGTTTATATCCCTCACATCTTCTCCTAATTTCACATATACTCTTGCAAGTTAAAAAAAGAAGCCGAAAACTGTTTCAACTACTACCATCTTCGCGAGACAATTATTTTTAATACTCCCTATATACTAATCGGGTATCTCTCTCTTTCTGCATCTAATAAAGCCACCGACCGCTATTTGTGTGTGTGTGTGTTTATCATCCCAAACAAATCAAGGGTTTTGCTCAGCAAAAATGTCCAAAAGAGAAAGCACCTGCCAAAACAGTCAGAAGAAAAACTTAAAGACTTTGATACAAAACGTTGCATATTATTAAAAAGTTATGATAGAACAAGAAACAGGAATGTGTAGCCCATACCTCAGGGACGCTGAGCTCGAGTCGGAACTTAGGGCCGTCGTAGTGATGCAGAATGGGTCGGAAGGAATCTTCTTCCAGTGGCAAACACACTTTCCTCGTTATGGCCCTCACCTGAAGCCCAATTATTTTCTTTTTTCAGAGAATATATAAACACACAAAAGCTATTGAGCAAGCAAGTAGTAAGAGACAAGTGGTACCTGAGCAGGGAATCGAGATTCGCCAGGACACTTCTTGTCTTCAAAAGCACTCAGCTCAATGTTTGTTCCTCCAAAGCTTGCGGCCTGCAGAAGCAAAGGAAAGCACGAAGCGCTTTTAGAATAATGAACAAATTGAAAGAAAGAAAGAGAATAAATCGCTAAAAGAAACCTGGTAAATTCCGTGGAGTTGGTGAGTGGAGTAGTTGTAGAGGAAGAGAGGAAGGCCCGGAGTGATGGCTCTGACCGAGTCCCTGTATCTGGGCGGCAACCCGAAAAGCTGGCGCTTGAGGTTCTCCTCCATGGTGTCGTTGTTGCACACGAAGATGTAACCACCAATGGTCTCGTTCCTCGGCAGAGCCTCCGCCGGAGGAAGCGTCTTGAACCTCTTGTCCAAACCACCGTTGTTGTCTTCGTTGCTCCTTTGGTGATTGTGGTTCTGATTCTTCCTGTTCTTCTTCCCGCCTCCTCCTTTCGGAATCTGATGATGATGATCTTCATCGATGACCCCCTTGCTCTTCTGGTGAATCCCATAGCTAGTCTTCACCGGCGACGAATATATCCCCTTGTTGAAATCGCCGTTGATTTCGTTGGACCTGAATTTCGAGCCCACCGGTCCGAAATCGTTGGAGCTCGATTTCCAGCTGTTCCAGCTGATGTCGGAACCAGTCTTGTTGTAGTTGTTGTTGTTGTCCTGGTTCAGATACTCGACATGGTTGTTGTCCAAGTTTCTGCGCTCGTCGTTGCGTTTGTAGACGGAGTTTGTGCTCCAGATCGAGTCGTTTAACGACAGATTCGCCAGATTCTGCGGCGTCTGGACTCTCAATTGGTCGCTGAACTGCCAAAACGACTGCTGATTATTGTTATCCATCGATTTGTGAATGGTTTTCTGAGATTTAGGCTGCGCGTTATTAAGTGGTGGAGAAGATTGGTGAGGTTTTGGTGAGAAATAAGTAGTAAAAGATCTGTCGAGAGGAAGAAAAGTTGTAAGGTTTTAATTGGAGGGAGCGTGTCATCTCATTTTATATGTACACATAAATCCAGTAGAAATTTCCAGGAAAGTGACTAAAGCCCATTAATTCTTTCTTTTTTTTTTTTGGCACCAAAGGTTGCGTGTGAATCTGACAAAGTGGATTAAGAAACAAAAATCGATGTTTTGTTAATTAGGAAAACTAATCAGTTTGAGGGGTAATTAATTGGACCCCCAAAACTGCAATAATTTGAAAAATTAGATTAATCAGTATTTATGTCTGATTTACTATTAAGTTAAAAGTTTGAACGATTGGGGTCGCAACGGCGGCAGGTAAGCGGAGACGCGGTCTAGAAGAACAACTGGGGGGGGGGGGGGGGGGGGTTAACGTGGCAGGTCACGGAGATGAGAGAGAAGAAAAAGTCTGATTGATTTATTAAATGATTTTTTAGAAAAATAACTAGTTTTGTGTATTAATTCATTAAAAAGTGGGTTTGATTTGTCTTAGAGGCTAAGGCTTGTGGACCAGACAAAACTAAAAGTCCCGCAAAAACGCGTTGACGATGTCACCGTGTCAGCATCAAGTTTGAGACCCGGAAGCTTCTATTGGGCTTTTTAATGTGAAAGCCCATTAATAATTATGCGATGGAGTATTCACCGGGCTGTTAAGAGAATTAGACCCATTTTCGGCCCACATAGAAAAGGCAAGGTTCTCCTTCTTCCTCTTCCTTCCTTTCTTTCTTTGCGACCAAGCCAGTTCCCGGAGAAATTCAGGAGAATTAGAGAGAGAGATTGAGAGATGGATCCGCAACTAACAGAGGTTTCGCAGCAGTTCGAGAGGTTCAAGGCGGCGTTTACAAGGAAGGATTTCGATACCTGCACTAATCTCTTGTCGCAGCTCAAGGTGCTTTATCTCCCTTTTAACACTTCACTCAGTTCGGATCTAATTTCTTTTGGACTATCTTCTGTTTCGCTCCTAGGAATTTTGTAAACACAAGGGTTCCGATCTATCGATATATCAAGTTTTTCTTTTTATTGGCTACACTATGCTCTGAAGTCTTGAAAAGTTTCTGATCTAGTGTTTGGGTTTAGTGAGTAGAACCTAAATTTGATATTAGATTTTGGTAAATGTTGTTGTTCAGGTTCTTCTTACCAAGTTCACAAGTCTTGCGCCTTTGTTTGAGAATACCCCCAATGCAGCTCACGAGCTGACCATTGCCAGTAAGTTCTTTTGTTTGTAGATTACTGGAATGTGTGTCATTGATTGATTATGTGATGATATTATGTACGCTTGTAAGTAAAAGTTGGAAACTTTCAGGGGATATCTATGAGCATGCTGTTGTTCTGAGCGTTAAAACTGAGGACCAAGACTCTTTCGAGAGAGACTTCTTCCAGTTGAAACCGTATTATGTCGATGCCAGGTGACAAAGGATGATGCTCATTATCCTATATTCTTCTCACTTCCCTCCCTGAAACATATACACATCATGTGTTCCTCCTTTTGTCTCTCTGTTCCAGGAGCCGTATTCCGCCATCTCCGCAGGAGAATCTCATCCTGGGCCTGAACCTTCTGAGGCTGCTCGTCCAAAACAGAATCGCCGAATTCCACACGGAACTCGAGCTGCTACCATCTGCAACCTTGGAGAACCCTTGCATCAAGCACGCCGTGGAGCCCGAGCAATCCTTCATGGAAGGTGCATACAACCGCGTCTTGACTGCTAGACAGACCGCACCTGATGAAACTTACGTCTACTTCATGGATCTCTTGGCCAAGACCATAAGAGATGAAGTGGCCGGATGCAGCGAGAAAGCATATGATCACCTCTCAATCAGCGAGGCTCGTAAGATGCTGCTCTTCTCCTCTGATCAACAACTCTTGACCTATGTCAGTGAGGAGCACCCGGAGTGGGATGTGAGAGATGGTTTTGTCGTCTTCCAGAAAGCCAAAGACACCGCACCCTGCAAGGAGATACCCTCTCTGCAACTCATCAACCAGACTCTCAGCTACGCCCGTGAGCTCGAGCGTATCGTCTAATCCCATTTTCTTTTTCGTTTTTCAAACTTTGCTTCTGATTTAGAGCACTCATTGGATTTTGGCTCTCTTTGTCCCTACCGTCTCGAAATCATTTTGTCCTCTGCTTATAATGCAACCATCTAATCTACACATGACTTCACATGAGACTCAGTGCTTTCTAGACTCATAAAGGCAACCCATTAAATGAGTCCGTGATCCAATTTTGATTCCTTTGTGTGTCCCCACGTCTTGTAAATATACATATGTGTGTGTGTGTTTTGATATTTTTGATTTCAAGAAAGAGACAAGAGATTCAAATTTGTTGAGAAGTTGTTTTCTCTTTGATTAACAAAATGTTAAAATATTTCTTCTCTGCTTTCCGCTCCATTAATTTCCAACTACAATTTCCTTCCGATTTTTTTGACTTGTGTATTTTATAATTGATCCCATCATCATGATTCAATAATTTTATTAATTGATAAAGCTATTATGTGGTCTAAAATGCATTTATCCTGGTCGCAATGTTGTGATTAGTCGGCTATTTTTAAAAATTGCAAGTCTCCTCGTAATCCAATCACAAAATTATTAAATTTGTTCATTTTGATCCTTAATGCTATTTTTTTTATTATATAAGAAATTTAATTTGATTCCCCGTAAATTAACATCTAAGATTAAACTTGTATAGAACGTATGGAATGTGTTAAAGAGTGTGCAGTGGCTCCACTAGGATCTCTCCTACTTACTCCATTATCTTCTTCTTCTTCCTTCTCCTCTCTTTCTCTCTCATCTCATTAAATCGGTACACAAATGGCGAGCTCAACATCTTTAGCCATTGTTCTTCATCAATCCTCCAATCATGACGAACTCTTCATGAGGCAGACTCTTCAATTCTCAGAAACTCTCAAGGTTTGATCCTTCCCTCTCTCTCTTTTTCCCCCAAGCATAGATTGATCAATACGATTGTGATTTTGACATCATTCAAGATTCATCTTCTCTCCTGTTTTTTTTTTTTTTTTATGTTTTAAGGATTTAAAGAATTTGCGAAAACAGTTGTACTCAGCTGCTGAGTACTTCGAAACATCTTATGGCAAAGAAGAACACAAAGAAACGTAACTATCATTTCTCTTTCTTGATATTACGTTTGGCAAGTTAAAGTGTGAATTTTGTGAGAGAAAAGTGAATGAATGATGTTAATGTTAGGGTGATAGAGACGTTGAAGGAGTATGCAGCGAAGGCAGTAGTGAACACAGTGGATCATCTTGGTTCTGTCTCTGACAAATTTAACTCTTTTCTCTCTGATAACTCAACCCATTTCTCCACCACTCATCTTCGATTATCTTCTCTCGAACAAGTAAGTAATCCCTGAAACTTGAATCTTGGAACTGTAATCAGAACACATCTCTCTCACATTGTGTATGTGTTGTTGTTGTAATGTAGAGGATGAAACTATGCAGAGAGTACATGGGGAAGAGTGGGACTTATCAGCATTGCTTTCTCATTCAATCTCCTCACCATCATAAGCGTTACTTCTTCCCTCGTATACCCTTTAGACCCTTTTTTATAAAGAAAATTGATTCATTCCATATCCATCATCATTCAATCTGATCAAATCTTTTATCACAAATTCTTGCATGCAAGAACATGGAAGAGGTGAACATAGAGGCACTGCAGGAGATGACTCTCATCGGTTCAAGAGTGGTAACTTCCTCCGTCACTTTATATCAGATTGTTTAATTTGTTTCTGTGTATTTTTAAAATGTTATCTGAATCTTTCTCCTGGTCTGTCTCCCTGAAAGCTGTCCGGTCAACAATACTAGAAAACCACCCAAATACTGCAAGGTAGAATCTTGATTCTCTTCTTCTTCTTCTTCCTCTTCTCTTGGTGGTTGTGATGCGGATTATTGGTTGGTCGAGTGCAGGAAAGCTAACAAGACAGGAAGCTTCTCCTTCTCACCCATCCTACACAACAACATCAGCAACAGAGCACCACCAAGTAGTACAACAACTAAACGATAATATTTTGTTAGATTTCAGACAACTAAAGCATGTGTGTATTGCAGGTAAAAGAACAAACTCTCCTATGAGATTTTCTCTCTTGCGTTCAGGATCTCTACTGAAGCGTTCAAGCTCCCCAAGCCAACCAAGAATGCTGGTATACCATTTGTATTTGTGTATATATTCAGCTTTCAGTATTTTCAACATTTTAGTTATTTTCTGCTCTGTGATTTGCAAAAGGCCTTACCGGAACCACAAAGAGCGATCTCTGTGTCGAGAAATAAAGAGATAGTGGAGATAAAGCAAACTTCTTCGAGGAAGGGGAATAAGAGTCTGATGTTCAAGGCATTGATGAGTATGAGCAAGTCAAGAAACTAAATCGTTTTTTTTTTTTAACATTTACAAAATCAACATGTGATATTACTATTAGAGAGCAATACTTGTCTTCTTCTTAGATGCTTTTTGGTTGAAATTGGTGTGAGAATTTGCAATTAGAAACATACATATTGTAACAATGTTAGTTTCTCTGTAGCTTTGACTTTAGACTTTAGAGTCAACCAGTACACAATGTTTCTACCAAAACCTCTTCTTTAGCTCATATTTCACTAGACAGTTGGACTTTGATGTGACGATGGCTATGGATGACTCAAAAGTCTGGGCCGTAAGAAAAAGAAGAAGGAAGGAAGGCCCATTATCTAGAACGAAGAAGAAGCGAAGTAACCAACGGCCAGGATTACTCCAACACAAGACCAAATCTGATTGGCTGGTGTTGTAGACCGTCGTGATATGATTGGTACACGTCATCTTCGGTGACATAAGTTTATACTTTCTTTCGTCTTCCCATAAAAAGCGACTACTTCACCACATCACCTTCGGCCTTCATGTATAAAAGCGAGCTACCAGACTCCAACAAAGGAACTAAATTCCATAAAATAAGAAAGAAGCTCGGTTCAAACGAGAGTGACACAAGATCTTAAGAGCAGAGAGGGATCGAACTCACAAGTATTCGATATGGCTCGCTCGTTCGGAGCAGACGGCACGGTTGTGCTGGCGATCATCTTCTTCGGTGAGTGTGTCTCCATCGTATCTTCTTCTCTGAGATTTCCATCTCTTTAGTCTGTTCAAATCGGCATAATCTGCCTCTGCATTGATGTTTGATCGCACTTCCTGGAGATTTCTGTTTACAATGTTGGGTTGCAGTTTTACCATCTTTTAGATTAGATCTCCTTTACTGATATAAGCACCGTCTTAGTGGATGCTTCTCTAGAGATTCGTAGCCTGGATAACGTTTGTAGAGCAAACTAGGTAGTAGGCAAATATCGTGAAATTAAGCTCTGAGTTTTGTTAGTTTATTGACGATTGAGATTTTATTCTTCAGGATGTTTATTTGCGTTTTCCACTGCTAAAGAAGAAGCCACGAAGCTGGGAACAGTGATAGGGATAGATCTCGGAACAACATACTCTTGTGTTGGTGTTTACAAGAATGGCCATGTTGAAATCATTGCCAACGACCAAGGAAACCGTATTACACCTTCCTGGGTTGGTTTCACCGACTCCGAGAGGCTCATCGGTGAGGCTGCCAAGAACCAGGCGGCTGTTAATCCTGAGAGAACCATCTTCGACGTCAAGAGATTGATCGGCCGAAAGTAAATACATCCTCTTTTTCTTGTTCTGCTTGTTCCGTGCATATGGACTGCTGCTTTAATTCTTGTTTGATTTTGTTGGTTACTGCAGATTCGAGGACAAGGAAGTCCAAAAGGACAGGAAGCTTGTACCTTACGAGATTGTGAACAAGGATGGCAAGCCATACATTCAAGTCAAGGTCAAGGATGGCGAGACCAAGGTTTTCTCTCCTGAGGAGATCAGTGCCATGATTCTGACTAAGATGAAGGAGACTGCAGAGGCTTACCTTGGAAAGAAGATCAAGGACGCTGTTGTCACTGTTCCAGGTTAGCTTGTTGTCATTTCTGCTTCGTCTTACGTTTTGGGGATGCGTATATATATGCAGTCTATTGATTCTTCATCTGGCGTTGTGCAGCTTACTTCAACGATGCCCAGAGGCAGGCGACAAAGGATGCTGGTGTTATCGCTGGCCTCAATGTCGCTAGGATCATCAACGAACCCACTGCTGCTGCTATTGCCTACGGTCTTGATAAGAAGGGTGGTGAGAAGAACATCCTTGTCTTTGACCTCGGTGGTGGTACCTTTGATGTCAGTGTCTTGACCATCGATAATGGAGTGTTTGAGGTTCTCTCCACAAATGGTGACACTCACTTGGGAGGTAAGACGACTCAGATTTGCATGTTCTGTATTACCTTTGGGTGTGAGATTCATATGATGCAAGAGCTAACCACCCTCTGTCTTTGTGCAGGTGAGGACTTTGACCACAGGGTCATGGAATACTTTATCAAGTTGATCAAGAAGAAGCACCAAAAGGACATCAGCAAGGACAACAAGGCTCTTGGGAAGCTCCGCAGGGAATGTGAGAGGGCCAAGAGAGCTCTTAGTAGCCAGCACCAAGTCCGTGTGGAGATCGAGTCCCTCTTTGACGGTGTTGATTTCTCGGAGCCACTCACCAGAGCTCGTTTCGAGGAGCTGAACAATGACTTGTTCAGGAAGACAATGGGACCCGTGAAGAAGGCCATGGACGATGCTGGTCTACAGAAGAGCCAGATCGATGAGATTGTACTGGTTGGTGGAAGCACCAGGATCCCAAAGGTTCAGCAGCTGTTGAAGGATTTCTTTGAAGGGAAAGAGCCGAACAAGGGTGTGAACCCCGACGAGGCGGTTGCTTATGGTGCTGCTGTCCAGGGAGGCATATTGAGCGGAGAAGGCGGTGATGAGACGAAGGATATCCTTCTTCTCGACGTTGCGCCACTCACATTGGGTATCGAGACGGTGGGAGGAGTGATGACGAAGCTGATCCCGAGAAACACGGTTATTCCAACCAAGAAATCTCAGGTTTTCACGACATACCAAGACCAGCAGACCACAGTCTCCATCCAGGTCTTTGAAGGGGAGCGAAGTCTCACCAAGGACTGCAGGCTTCTCGGGAAATTCGACCTTACCGGAATCCCACCGGCGCCAAGAGGAACACCTCAAATCGAGGTCACGTTTGAAGTGGACGCCAACGGTATTCTCAACGTGAAGGCGGAGGACAAGGCGAGTGGTAAGTCAGAGAAGATCACAATCACAAACGAGAAGGGTCGGCTGAGCCAGGAAGAGATTGACCGGATGGTGAAGGAGGCAGAGGAGTTTGCAGAGGAAGACAAGAAGGTGAAGGAGAGGATCGACGCCAGGAACAGCCTGGAGACGTACGTGTACAACATGAAGAACCAAGTGGGCGACAAGGACAAGCTTGCGGACAAATTGGAGGCGGATGAGAAGGAGAAGATCGAAGCAGCGACCAAAGAAGCCTTGGAGTGGCTTGATGAGAATCAAAACTCTGAGAAAGAAGACTACGAGGAGAAGCTCAAGGAGGTGGAGGCAGTGTGTAACCCGATCATCACGGCCGTTTATCAGAGGTCTGGTGGTGCACCAGGTGCAGGAGGAGAATCAGCAGCCGAGGAGGAGGATGAGTCTCACGATGAGCTCTAAGACGTTTTTTTTCTTTTCTTTTCTTTTTCTTACTGTTGATTTGTTAAAACCCCCATTAGAGAAACAAACGTGTTGGTGAAGTTTTGAGGATAAAGATGAAGAGAAGGTCTTCTTTTGTATCTGTACTTGTTTTGAGTTTGGGTTGTTATGGATAGAAGAGTAAGGTCTTGTTGTGAGCTCCAATCAAAATCAAAGAATGAACAATGCAAAACCAAGAAACGCACCAGATGCAAGAGAAACGTCTACAGTGGCAAGCAACTCTCATAATATGCTTTTTATGCAACTTGTAGCGTCTTGTTCTCTGCTTGAATACTTGACATTGCTTATTTGGTGTGTCTGGATTGTTAAGTGGATTGGTTTTCAAGTGTCTTGTTCTGCCTGAATACTTATATAACTTTTGAGTATATAAAAGGGGGTTGGAGTGCAGAAAACCTAAACCTAGCAAAAGCCGCCTCCATGCCAAAGAAAAACAAAAGGCAAAAGCATAAGCAAAAGCATAAGCATCGATCCATCCATCGGCCGAAGATGGGGCGGAAGAAGAAGACGCAGCCTGCGGTGCTAGTGGGAAAAAAAGAGATCGAGGAGAGACTTTTGCGTATGATGTTCGGTTATACAGATAAACTGAATAAATCCCAGGTAACATGTTTTCGAATTTTGATTATACATGAATCCTCGACAATCGCCTCTTTATTTTGACTAATCATTGCTCGATTATTGGTTTCTAGGGGTTCGATATACGTGGATATGAGGGAATCAGTCCGATACTGGTTGCGCACATCTGTGATCGTGATGGTCCTTGTTGTGACTTGGTCCTCCTCTATGCCAGGATGGGCCTTCATCGTTACAATCTTGTCCAGGTAAAGATCATATGATTCGACTTTGCATAGGGTTTTATTTGCTTGCTGTTAACACCTCAATCGATCCATTTCTCTCTAGGGGAAACACTTGCAGCTCAGTAGCGTAAAGATGTACAACAGGTCCGTTTCTCGCTCTTACTTCATAACTTTGGAAGCCAAGGATCCAGCCAGCGATCCAGTGACGCTTCAGACTTTTCAGGCTAAAGTTAATGAAGTAAATACCAAGGATCGATCCACGGATGGTCCAGCCACGGATGGTCCAGCCACGCTTAAAACTACTAACGGATTCCTTTTGACGTGCACTGTTGCTAGGCGTCTAGGTAAATATTTAATCATTGGTACACAAACAACAACAAGTCATCATATCAATCATCATCGTCGAATTAATCTTTGTATAGGGGACACCAGTATCAGCATCCCAGCTATTGATCTCCAAAGAAACCACTGTAATGGCAAACACCTCTCATATTTCATGCCCGAGTTACCGCCAAAGAATCCTTTCGAAGATGATTCAAAACGATTTCACGTGGTAAATTTGATTTTTCTTTGTTTTTATCTTTTGCTTACTCTGACAACTAGTAGTAAAGTGATATATATATATATATATATATGCCTTTTTTTTTTTGCAGCTCAAGGAATCCGAGCTTCAAGACAATGACGACTGGGTTCGTTTGTATGTGGAGCTTGCAGTTGCCAAACCCTATACCCGTGAGGAACAAGGTCTGGACAACTTGAAGATTCTGAAAGTGGCTATGGACAGTGAACGATACCTGAGTGAGGGACTTGGCGCCAATGATGCAACTTTCTACATAAGGTACGAGGACTCGTGCGAGGCTCGAGTTGGTAAGGATGTCGATCGCGTTGCTGTCGTCAGAAGAATGTTGGATGAGCACTCGCAAGTCTTGCGTCTCGTGGGTCGTCATCAGAGCATAACACCGTCATCAAACGCCATGGAAGCTGGATCCTCGTCTGCACAAGACTAGATCCATTTGAATGTGTTGATGGTTAAGTGGAATATGCTTTTTATTCAACTTGTAGTGTTTGGATTGTTAAGTGGATTGCCTTTGAAGTATGGTTTTCAAGTGTGTCCTGTTTTACGACAATGAATCTTCAGTAATAATTTCATAATTTTATACAAGCAAATGTATTTTCTTATTATTTCCCAGTGTTTACACTCACACACATAATCGTAATCGGCGTCTCACCTATACATATAGCAAATCAAAGAATGCTACTACACTAACACTGCAAATGTACACACTCTGCTTCTGTCTTTCTTTAGACCCGAATTGGTAAACCGTAGTTATGGAACACTCTGATCCTACCGTCCCAAGTTGCTGTCACAATCACAAGCCCCCACAGGTGCGGCGTAGAGGCGGCCTTGACGTTCTGCCACACACTCCTCAGTAGCCTCAGCTTGGATCTACTGCTGGCCGTAGCTGAGATCGCTGCTGCAGCGGAACCTGCTACTACTCCAAGCTTCTCCTCCGGCCACGTTGTTGCTCCTTTCATCGGAGAGAAACAGTCCACTGGCAACGGGAAATGAGCAAACTTTTTGTCCAAATCAGCAATGAAACTGTCCTCCTCCTTCCCCTGGCCTTGCCAAGGTATGGCGACAGACACGTTGTCTGAGAGAAATCCCTCGTAAGACCTGATAGTTTTTGGTTTCTGAGAAGAAGCAGAAGCAGCCTTCCTGTTGTGTTGAGAGTAGTCCCAAACATGAATGCCTGCGTCCTCTATTGTTGAGACGATGTGTTTCCCATCCGACGTGAACAAAGCAGAGGTTGGGCTCAGTGCTGTCCTAAGACTTGAAGCTGCAAGAAAACAACAAAAATCATTACAAACAAACTCACAAAAGCATTCACCAAAGCATCGAAGTAAACTTGATAAGGACATTTCTTGAGCTTGCAGATTGTATCCACTCCGCAGATGATTCGGATTTGAGAATCGGCAGAAGTGACCATTAATTTGTCTGAATCACCGGGGAAAAATTGAAAGCCAGTGATTCTTTTGCTAGGGACCTTCTTCTTCCCATGTAAACTGATCTCTCTGTCCAGTTGCAGCTGGTTATCTGAAGATGATGCCACATGTCAAGACACAGAATGCGCATTTTGGAAAGCCAGCAAGTAAGAAAAGAACATACCAACTGTGTGGTAGAAGCGACATTCTCCAGTCATAGAGCCTACAACTGCACCTTTAGCATCAGGGCGATAGCACAAAGCTGTAACAATCTCCCTTATGTCTGTATAGTCAACAACCCTGAAACGGGAGACGTCCCATATACGGACTTTGCCATCAATCGATCCGCTCATAAAGTAATTGTCATCCACAGGATTGAATGCCACACATGTCACTGTAAGAAGAAAGGAGAAAGAGAGTTAGAGACACATACCAAAAGAAGAAGACACAGAAAAGGAAAGAAACTTACCAAAACTCTTATGAGAGAAAACTCTGACGCATTCATCAGAAGAGCCAACCCGCCACAAACGAACAGTCTCATCCACTGAGGATGATAGTAGAAACTGAAACAGCACATGCACAAGTTGTTAGTGCAATCATCTAATCTCAATCTTTACCACATTTACGAGTTGCTTAGTACAATCATCTTACCCCTTTCTCCGACCAGGAAAGATCCAAGATTTCACCTAAATGTCCCCGGAACTCGTGCTGAGGGGTTTCAGAAATACTAAAGACCCTCGAAGGCAACACAGCGCAAGTCGACTCTGACTTCTTCCTCAACAATCCTCTACTCTTTTCGGTTTTCTCACTCTCAGTGTTTAGCGGCTCAATCTGTGACTTGTCATTCATTCCAAAGTAAACACAGTTAGAGCCTGGATCAAACTCTGCCACTTGGAACTTGTTGTCTCTTCTCTCGTCTTCCGTTACGCTCCACACTCGCACAACACAGTCCTCACCAGCACTGGCTAAGTACTTGCCGTCGTGAGAAAACTTCATCACGACAATGGATCCATCGTGCGCTGAGAACTCCTGTCCGATGCACAGACAAGAAAGCTCCTTGAACTGTTTTTTAAAAGACTGAACTCGTGTCAGCTGCCTCCGTGTCGATGACCCCAGGGATCCACCATCCACTGATTCTTCGTTCTTGTCAAGAACATGCGTTAAAACAGCTAGCTTCTTCAGCCACCCTTTAGCTCCTCCCTTTTTAGGCGAATCCTCGTAACGGCTCAATGGAGAGCTCGAACCAGACTCGCTCAATTCCTCAGCAACGTTACTGCTACTACTGGAACAATCTCTCGTCAGCAAAATCCGATCGTCAATGTTCTTGGCACGATCCAGAAACGGTCCTCTGAAACTAAACGCCTCAGCCAGAGAAGAAGAGGATCTATCAGAGGAGACGGATTCATTCCTCAACAGCTTCTCCTCCTCTTCCTCGTGATAATCAGTTTCAGACACAGGTTTCAAAACGGGAATAACAACATTGTCGGAACAAGAGTCTCCCAGCAGAAGATCGACATCAACGTCCCTCTTTTTGAAGCTAAACCCCATGGATTGAAAGAACTTGTGCCGACGGTTGGTAACACTCTCCGGATTCATGGTCCAGAGATCTGATTCGCCAGTTGCTTGAACAAATTCTTCGTCGGAGTTGCAATCGGAAACAGATGAAACTTCTTCGCGAGCATCGGAGAACCAATCCTCCTCTTCCTCCTTCCCTCGAGTACCCATCATCACAGCTTCAGAAAATTTTTTTTTGAAAAAAAAGTCAAAATTCCTCTAAAAGCTGTAGACTTTGGTGATAAACAGAGATTGAATGCCCAAATAAGGAATGTTCAGTAGTTCAACAAAAATCCACCCATTTTAGAATTTACTTACGTCTCGGCACAAATAAGCAATTTCTGCTCTTTCTACGACTACGAAGGGGTTTCAAACTGGTGCCCGAAACCTTGCATCGAATCAAGTCACGCTCTTTCTTCTTCGCATCTCCTCGCAAGAGCACCCGAAAAACAAAAAGGTTTGGTTTTTAAGGGAAGGACAAGATTTGAGAGGGTTTATTAAGAGCGAGATTTTCGGAAATTGAGAGCTTTTCTTCGGTTGTACGAATGAAGGAAGCAAATGGTTACGGAATTTAACAAAGATCCTTTCCTTTTGTCTTTTTCTTCTCTCTTATTTTTATGTTTTTTTATTAATTTGGAAATGGCCAACCAATCACACTCACTTGCACCTTATGCAACTTGCATTTATTTTCTTCCCTAATCCCTACTTTCTTTTCAATAATCAAATGCTGATTTTTCGTAACATGTACTTTTACTTTTCTTCCCTAGACTTTGAAATTGAAACAAATACAATTACACATCTTCATTTCAAAAAAAAATTGCTTGGTATCATTTTGGTTAATTGATCCTTATTATTATTGCCTATTGATTTATGAAGAAATTATAGTAACAGTGGGCGAGTCGTGAGCTATATGTATGTGACTCGCTCGCGAATTGTCATCACTACTATGTTGTTTGGTGGAAATAGGAACGAGTCAATGATGTACTGCAAACTTATTGGATTTTTAAAGAAAAAGAAAATTAAAATGAGAAAAGAGAAATGTTTAGTAGAATTACGCGTATTTGTTATGCTATTACTCAACTAATTAACATCCTTCATTGAGAGTTTACAAGACACATGTTAGGAAATTTGGACCTCAAACGGAAGTTGTACCATGCATTGTGACTGAATGAAAATAACTTGCTAGACTTCTAGGTGAATTTAAGCATTAGTACACAAACAAGAACAAGTCATTAAATAAACTCCCTACATACTTTGACTGACAATGTAACAACAAACAAATTATTTATTGATTGGTTTTTAGGTTGTGTGGGATCACGATTTTGTCAATCTGCCCTTTTCTGCTAAAAAAAAAAAGGGCCTGATCGACATAATGGACTTAATGATCGATTTAGGTCTGACTAACTTGGCCAGTACCAACAATCACGACTGATAGAGCTGACAGATGAAAAATATATGGAATTGTTTGTCCAAAAAATAAAAAGGGAAATATTTCTATTTTAGTTGGGTTAATTGTTGATAAAAACGTGTTTCTCAACGCAATAAACTTATAATAATGAAAATATATGGAATTGTTGTCCGCAGGGGCCTAAAATTAATGAATAAAAAAAAAGAGAGACTGTATTGGGCAGTGTGATGGTTCTTTCTTTCTCACTTATTTTTTTGACCCACCTGCATTCCAAAAAATAAAAAGGGAAATATTTCTATTTTAGGAGAGTTAATAGTTGATAAAAACGTGTTTCTCGACGCAATTATAAACTTCTAATTTATACATAAAAATCTCAGCCTGGCTGACTCTTCTTGCCAAGAAACATGGTGCTGAGTCTACGTCAGTTATGGAAACCAAAAATAAAATTTCAAATGTTAATGGGAAAGTTATAATAGTAGTAGAATCATGCACTCACTATCAAATAATCAACTTACCACTTGGAAGTAGTAGAATCAATACATTTATCATAATGTCACTACTATGTTGTTTCGTGGAAGTATGAACGGGTCAAATGATGTCAAAAAGGAAAGAAGGAACGAGTCAATGATCCTGCAAACTTGTTGAAAAGTCAAATAAACATATGAAGGAGAAAAGAGAAATAATCTAGAATAATTACACATATTTTTATGTTATTGCTCAACTAACATCCGTCAATCAATGAGAGTGTACAAGACTAATACACATTTTGAGGAAATTGGACCTCAAGCAGAAGTCCTAACATTGTTTAACTGAGTGATCATAACTTGTTAGGTGATGGTTCTCCTACAGAGCGTGCTGCGGACTTTTGAGGTAATGCAAAGTTACCACAAGTCTTCCTTCTCAAAAAGAATCACTCTAAAGGTGGTTCGTTGGGATTTTTCTTCTTAGCTCCATCCACGCCTCTCATTTCTCGGTCAGATGTGATTTTGATTTTGATTGGTTTTTTGGTTTGAACAAAAACCAATCAAAATTAGAAAAAAAACACATTTGATTGGTTTTTCTGTTTGGTTTTCATATTCACTCTAATTCACTCGTCAATCATAACTTATTTTTGTATTTTTGCAATTTCAGGTCATGAAAGTAATTTGCGTGAAGAATCTATATTCGTCCACTGAAATAGCATTTTTGAAAATCATGCATGGTTACTGTAGCGCCTCCGACCGTCCTTATCGATGAGCACACTTACGTCCTTTCTCGGGTCCGTGGGCTCCACTCTTGTCCGATGGTTGGTGCGTTATTTTTTCCGGAGTCCAACCGACTTATTTACTGACCCTGCAATCACCACATGATTTTTCTCCATGTTTTGGCTTCACTCACACGGTTTCAGGAATCACTTCTCGAAAGGTAACCCATCCTAGTCCTACTCCAGCTCAAGCACCATTAACTGTGGAGTTCTCTGGGGACCAATGACCGAAAAGATAAGTGCACTTTGATGACATAGGTAACCAAATCAATCCATTTAAACTTTTTCAAATTGGTCGGGCCCGGTCGTTACAATTCTTCTCCACTAAACGGGAATCCGTCCCCGAATTTTGATCCCGATAGTGTGAGCCTTAACCCCCAAACCCCAAGACAGTCTCCTGTGACAGAACCAGTTTGACTTCCCAGGCTATGATACCATTTGTAATATCCCCGACCGCCCCTACCGGTGAGCACACCCACGTCCTCTCTCGGATCCGTGGGCCCACCCATGTCCGACGGCCGGTGCTTTATTTTTCCCGGAGCCCAACTGACTTATTTACTGACCCTGCAATCACCACATGATCTTTCCCCGTGTTTTGGCCTCACTCACACGGTTTCGGAAATCATTTTCCGAAAGGTCACCCATTCTAGTCCTACTCCAGCTCAGGCACCCTTAAATGTGGAGTTCTCTCGGGACCAATGACCGAAAAGATAGTGCATTTTGATGACATAGATAGCCAAATCAATCCATTTAAACTTATTCAAATTGGCCGGGTCCGAGTCGTTACAGTTAGTAGGGGTGGGCGCGGATCGGATATCCGAGAATTTTTTAGTATTTGTGGTTTGCTCTGTTTTTAACGGATATTTAATTTTATGATTTGATTTGCTCCGAAAATATACGGATATCCGGATTTTCGGATATCCAGAAAATTTATAAGTATTTGCGGATATTTGCGGATATTTACGAATATTTATGAATATTTAGTTTGATCCATTTAATATACACAAAACTGAAAGTACATCAATTTTTATTATAAAAAAAATTTTTATCTAAACTATTAAGTGAAAATAACTAAAAAAAAATATTTTATTTTATAAAAAAAAATCTATAAAAAATAAACCTACAAAATTAAGATGAGGAAAAATGATATTTTATATTTAAAAATAATATTAACTATTTGAAACTTTAATATTAAACTTTACTAAAAAAAATTTGTTGATATTTATTTACTAATATAAAATAAAATGTTATTTATTAACATATTTTAAGTTTAAACATATTATTTATTTTTTATAATTGGTTATTTAGTCATTTATTTTATATAATCAAAAGAATAATTGAAAATTTAGGAAAAAAAATTATAATATATTAATAAAAATTTATAATATAATTGATATATACATGATTATATATAATAAATTTATAAAGATACAGATCGGATCAGATATCCGGCGTTATCTAAAAACATATTTGTGATTTGCTCCGTTTTGTATGAATACTATATTTTGCTATTTGCTTTGCTCCGAAGCTTTATGGATATCTAGATTTTTCGAATCGGATCGAAGTAAATATCGGTTCGAAGCAGATACGACGGATATTTTGCCCAACCGTCAGTTACGAACAATGTTTCTACAACTGTGCGCCTATATCTGAAACTGATAGAGTGCCTAGTAAAGCGAGGGAAGGTGGTAGATGCTGCTGAATGCTGATATTGGACGGCAAGATCAGACGGCTGAGATTGAGTTTCAAGGAAAAACAAATTAGCAGGGTGGGGTCCATGAATGACTAATCTCCACCGTCCAACTCACACATCACAAGACTCTTTGCTTTGGTGCGTGTCACCATCGTAGACACGTGTCGAAATCAGAAGGGATTACCACGGTGGGTCTGTACAATTGACGGCTTCAGTTCGACGGATAGATGGAAAGTGGGACCCGTTAGGAGTAGTAGATTGGTGTGAAGTGTATAATAAGCGTCGCGTTTCAAGGAGACTTGTGCCGTGAAACCAAGTCAACGGCTCAACCAATGTATAAATTTTAAAAGCACTTTAGTACAGTTATTACAGTTAATAAAATGAGTGTTATGTGGTGTGCATATATAAAACAGATGGAGATCATACTCATATCCACACATCTTTCTAACCGCACTTGATCACTATTCGTTTAAAGGAAAGGTCAGCGTTTTATACGAAACGCAGTTGATCACACTATTCGTTTTAAAATGCGGTGGGAGTCGCGGACGCTCTCGCGGCTGCATAAATAAGCTCCCCGAGAAGTAGTCACACACTTCCAACTTCCACTCTCTATCTCTCTCACTCAGCTTCAAAGATTCCAAAGCCATGGACACGGCTCAGTGCCCTCATGAGGTTTGATCATTTACATATTGAGCTGACATATACAATACATGGTGTATTAATTAACGTGAAGCTTGATTGCTTATGGCATGTGTTTTGGTTGGGAAGGCAACAAAGGAGATGGAGAGGAAAAGAAAGAGAACAGAGGAAGCGTTGAACAAGTACTGTCCAAGATGCAACTCCAAGCACACAAAATTCTGTTACTACAATAACTACAGCCTCACACAGCCTCGGTACTTGTGCAAGACTTGCCGTCGCTATTGGACACACGGTGGCTCCCTCCGCACCATCCCCGTCGGTGGTGCCTCCCGCAAGAACAAGTCCACCAAATCTTGTCCAAACAACGACAAACCTGAAGCTAGAGGTGATCAAGACTTGGCTTCTTCTCAAGGGATCATCTCATCAAATTATGAGCTCACAAGACCAGCTTTGGGTTTCTCTCTTGAGGGCCGTGATCCTCCCGACCAAGAAGAGGTTTCCAATGCTGCTGCTGCTACAACTACAACTACGAGTCGTGAGAGGCATCTGTTGTCGTTTGAAAGCCTGAACCCACCATTCTCATCGCCAAGCTCAAACGGTGGGATTAAGTACAATCATAGCAAACGAAATACTGATGACAAAGAAGAACAAGTGGCAGACCGATCAGCTGGGTTTTGGAGTGATATGTTTGGTGGTGAGTCATGGCAATTACATAATTAAAACAGAGGGTCAGTTAAATTCTACAAGATGAAGGCTAACTTTTTAGTGGCTAATTACTATAAGTTTAGTAACGTCCTTTTCTTTTTGTAATCTACATATATAAAAATGGGTTTCTGTCTTTATTGGCTGCTTGGTAATTAGGCTTCTGTTTCAAGCTCGGTGCTGCTTCATCAGTGAAAGAATATTTTTACTTTTGCAATTTTTGTTTGTTTGGCATTAAAATATACACAATACCCATATGCAGCTAAAAACAAGTATACTCATAATCAACCTCTCGATTTCACATCTTAACAATGAATAATGATCTTAATAATGAATAGTCTACAAAATTAGAAGAAGAGTTGTATATATTTTCCATAGACCCTTCCCCAACTACAATAGACTGCTCGCTAAACAACTTTTCTTTTTAACCAGTTTTTGGGATTACACAAATTAAGAAAACAAAAGAAAAAAACTGATTAGAAGGCACCAAACAAAGAGTAGAAGAAAGGTTTGTTGTTGTATATATGCGATGGGACCATATAACACATTTCCTCAGAGGTTGGGATTCAATGGCACTATGTGATTATATTCGAGATTCAAGATACTCAAATCGCATAATCTTTTGTCTTCTCATTGGTCTGCATTGATTCCAAATATGCGGACCTTGTGCATGTGCGGAAATTTGGCGACCACCATCACAAACACGGCCAGTGTGTTGAGGAAGAGCATCGGGTGCTGATAGTCTGTTGTGTGAGAGGCTATCAAGTACCTGCATGCAATCTTTTCATCAGATTTTCAGATTCAATACATAATTGTTCCACTAATGCATCATCTAGTGTTCCTCTAAGATAGATTCAGCAAACAGACTGTATAAAGGACATTGCAAAAACCATAATAGGCAACCTAGCTCCAACACTAATCAATGAACAATCAGAAATTCAAAATGAGGAGAATGATAGTGTGTGATGTCGAATTTACTCGCCAACCAGATTGTGAAAACAAACGCGTCTCTGCATAACCAGAGGTAAAATGGGCACAGAATCAGAAACAAAGCTTCTCGAGTTCAAGGAGAAGAATCATGCACTTGATAGGGCAAGTAATGCTTAAGGAGATTCCATGGAAGCTACTAGTTTCAAAACAAAGAGTTATCATGCTAATAAAACCTAATGAAGCTGCCCATTGGAACTTACAGGACAACGGGAACAACGGTGAGAAACTTGCGATTGCGAGTGAGCTGCTTGCCGTTGTCAATCTGTTCCCACCAAGTCAACCGGTTGTAGATTCCCTGATCATCGCCAAACGGCGTCCCCTTCTTCCAATGGAAGGAATGATACGTGACCTAGACGAAGCCGATCATGATCAGCGCAAATCCGAATCTGGCAATCTACAATCGAAATTGAAACAGAGAGAATCGAGAGTGATTACGGTGAAATGGGCGAGGTGGACGATGGTCCACGCGATGCCAGGGGAGCAGTGGAAGACGGAGAGAACGAGGAGCCATGAGAAGAAGAGGATGAGGATGTAAGTGGTCCACACACCGGGATACGTGAACCACTCCGTGTTCCGGTTCACATCCGTCGTCGGAAGCGCTCGAACGTACATCCTTTTTCACCGGAGAAGAGAGATCGGAGATCGGATGAGAATCCTCTGAGAAGCTGCTCTTTCTCTCGCTCCCTCTTTTGGGCTCTTTCTGGGCCTTTTGAATGATTTGAATTTAATGTTTGGAAACAAAATAGGAGGGTGGGTGGCTCGCCCTTCTTAGCCTTAATGGCTAGCTAATAGTTTGACAGTTGTCTCACTTGACTTCTTACCGCGCCGGTCAATAAACCACCGACTCATGTTTTATTGGGCTTTTTTCCTTCGCATATATATATTCAATCTCCAAAAAAGAGTTATCAGATTCCGAAACAGATTACGAAAAAAAATCATAACAATATAACGAGTAAACATTATCCGAAGGAAGTATGAAACATGATTTAAATTAGATATATATAATAAGATAATTTTCATATAACTAACATGTATATGTATGAGATTTGAAAGTAAACTTTCCAACGTTTAAGAAGTTATATTGATAGTATCGATCTAACATTTTGAGATATCAAAGTTAAAAAAAAAACATTTTGAGAAATCTTTAAGTAATTTGAAAAAGAGAATAAAAACCCTGATCTCTTATAAATTATGCAGTATTCTTGAGGCGAATTATGGTTTTCTCTACTGATATAAGTTCTTTAGATTATTCGTAGGTCAATACATGTACAATTGGTCGTTAATCAGTTAGATAAAAGTTTGTATTTTTTAACTTGTTTTATCCACATAAGTCATTCTTTCGCTACTATCAAGAATGGCTTTTGTCCAATGATGTGTGATCCTGATTGTTCTATCATTCTTTAACTTATCTTTTGAATTTGTTGAGAGCTTAATTAATCTGTTGCGCCTTCTATATTTTACCATTAAACGATCAGTGTCACTAGTTAACAGATAGCTATCGTCGTCTGAGAATTTTGGATCTAGTAATTTTGGATTATGATTTGCAAAAGAATTAGATAGCATATCAATAATTATTTTATATGTTGCAATTTGCCTAAGATAAAATATTTCATATAACTAAGATGTATATGTATGAGATTTGAAAGCAAGCTTTCCAACGTTTAAGAAGTTATATTGATAATATCTATCCAATTTTTTGAGATATCTTAAGTAATTTGAAAAATATGTGCCTTTTGTGTACAACTATAAATCACATATATTGATAATATAAGAAAAAAAATATATTAAAATTTCATGAAACAATCCATATTCACAAATCTTTAGTAAGTATATTGTTTTCTAGATATTATTTTACTTGTTTGATTAAACCAACACATCTACTCCGATTTCTATTTCATGGGCATATATATAGGTCTATATAGTCTAAGTTTGGGGTTGAATTCATCTTTGATTCTTCATAAAATTATGCATATATATATATATATATATATAGAATATAGTTACTTACTTGTCTTCGTTGATTCATGAAGAACACTCAATCTTATTAATTAGGATTTATATTGTTGAGTTATGAGGAACATGATTATAATTTGAGCAGTTGACCTAGTATTAGCTTTGGTTCTACTTAACGAGTTGTTACTTTGATCCTATTATGTGTTTCAATTTTCTGGAACAATCCAATTTCATTTCTAATTTTTATAGTATCAATATGCTTTTTCATTTAAAAGTCATTTAATGGTGGAGATAAGATAATGCCATGTTTTTTTTTTCATTCTTTAGTATGATGATAATGTAGTCGTTTGGGTTAACTCTACAATTTCGCCTTTGTCTTTGAAAGTTTTCGTCAAGAAAATTGGCACTCATAATGGAAGTTTTCACTTTTCACTGCGATGAGCCATTGAGCCTTCGGTTGCTTTATGATATGTGTTGCAATAAGTTCTCGTGACTATAAGGTAACACAAACAACACATCTGAGCAATTTTTGGAGTTTTATAAGTTGTTTTAGACTCAACAGAATCATTTGTGAAATATCTTTACTAAACATTTTATTAATTAAGAAGTAAGTTAGGCTGTGGTTGAGAATTATAATAGTTGATTATTATTTGCCTCTTATATAAAAAGACTTTATTTACCCTTAATAAAATTAACAAATTAATGTAATCTAAATTTTAATTTTTTTTATTTTTTTTTAAATCTAGATTTCCAAATTCAAGTTTATATCATAAAATATTCAGTTTACTAAAAAAAAGTAATTAGCATAAATCACAAAAATTGGTCCTAATTATTTTTTTAAAATAATTTAAATTTGACTGTTTAACCTACTAATATTTTTGCCTAATCTAATTGATTTATGCGGTCACAAGTAAAACTCTAAATCTTTTAAATCTTTTTAAAACTCTATATATATTAATTAATGTTAAGTTGATATGAAACAATGATACTTTGGTTTTGGTCATATCAGATTGCTATGTTTTTTTTTAATGCAAACTTTGAATTTCATTAATTTTAATCTGTCAATTTACACCAAAAAGAGAACTATTTACTATGTTTGATAAAAGCAACAAAGCAACAAAACATACATATAAAATTTTATCAGATAATATAAAATATATTAGAAAATAAGATATAAATAATATATTTTGCTTTGTCACAAAAAACAATATACTTATGAGAATTGTATTTTTTTCAAACATATAAATTTTGGTTTCGAATAATTATAAGATCTAATTTTTTTAATTTATAAATAAATTAATATTATTACTTTTAAAAAAAATTAATCAAACTCCACACAAGGTGCAGGGAAACACCTAGTTGTAAATGTCTTACAAGAGAATTTATATTCAGTAAAACTTTCATAAACTAATACTGTTGAGACTTTCAAATTTTATTAATTTATAGAGATAGTTTTAAGTTCGAATTTTTAGTGCTTATCAAAAGATAAAAATTAATATTTTCAATATTGTAAATTTATTCTGAAAATGTCATAACAACAAATTTAAAAGATAAATAAGAAATATTATAAATTTGAAACAGTAATATAATCATAATTTACTATATTATATTATTTACGGTTCTAACTGGCGACTAAAGAAATAAGGAAGAATAATGAATTCCTATTTATTCCTTAAAACATTTACCATTTGCTACTAGTAATGTTTTTCTATCATTCTTTCTTATTCCTTATCATATAAGAAATTATAGAATAAATATATTCTTTATTAAATTTGAGGAGAAACAAAAATATTTATTTACTATTTTTTATATATATTTCATTTCTATTCAGTCTTTTCATTCTGTGACTTTTATTTTTTCCTTTTCATTCATATTTTTTTTATTGGTCACCAATTTAAATGTATAATTATTAATATATATTATTATTATGGAGACTATATTTTTACATAGAAGTTCGAAAAAATATTATCTTATTATCTTATAAAAATTTGTTAATTTTTACACACTGGTCCGATTTAATACCAGCAAAATTGATAATATTAATTTATCGATTATTAATTTATAGAACTAAACTAGAGAACTAAACATATACTAAACTATTCAGTTGAGTAAACCAACACTAACAGGATATATACATCTATTATATAAAAAATGGCAAACTCTCTCCAGTTGAGTGACACGTCAGCACTAGAGAGTGTGACACATGTCTTTTAAAATTTATAACTAATTTTTATTATTATTATGCAATAAAAGACTAAGTAATTATTTATCCTTTAATTAAATGCTAATTAAAATATATCTGTTTTGGTTTCTATATGTCTGATGAATGTATATTTTTGTTTATTGTTAATATAATGGAAACCTTAAAAGAATGGCAAAGATAAATGTGAGATAGATTGTGAGTTAAGGTGTGGATATGTGACTAAAAAGATAGCGACTAGAAAAGTTAGTTTATGCCATGGACCAGTACGATCTGCTAAAAAAATCATCTCTTCTTCTTATATTATGTTTGAAGGATCTCTATAATTATTTTTTGTTATGTTATTTTCTATTGCAGTATATTCATTTGACTTATGCTACATATACAAGACATAACACAATTCACATTTCTTTATCAACAAATCATTTATCATAAACATAGTTATTATCCATATAATACGTACATATGTATTGTGTGTTTATTCAAATACATATCTTTTAAAAAAATCAGACATAATTAATCTACATTTAAAATAAAATAAAAATTATTTTAATTCTATGTACGTAGCTAATAGGCATTGCAGCATAGTTAAAATAATACAAAGACTAACAACTAAAGCCCAAACTATTACCATTATTTATGAAATAGATTAAGTATACAATAAAACAGATTGTAAATAAATTTTTTAACAAAATTTATTGTGAAGAAAAACTTCGCGCATCACTAAACATAATAATACTTTTAGTTGTAATACATTTAGAAAATATAGTCAAAAGACATTGCATCATCAAGTTAAAATAATACAATGATTAGAAATAAAAGCCAAAAACTATTACCATTATTCATAAAATAGATTAAATATAAGATAAAATAGATTATAACTAAACTTTTTAACAAATTATATTGTAAAACAAAAAACAGCACATTGCGTGTTCTCATCCAGTAATGTTAAAGGTTGCTTAGGAATTGAAATGGGCGAGAATTTTTTTTAGTTGCTATAAATGTTGTTTGAAATTGATTAGGCAGTTTTGATTGTAAATTTATCATTAGTAACTAAGATTTATCAAACTTTAGTATTAGGCGTTTCTGTTATTATTTGTTCTTGTTGAAAAATTGGTGAATATAATATCAATTACGAAAGAAAACATCATAATAGATTAACGAAAATATTTCATAGGAAACTTGATTTGAATAAAATATATATATTAAAGAATTACTCACCTAACCTTAAAAAACAAGTGGAAAAATCCGCTTGATCCAATAGTTTATTAAATGTTTATTAATATTTTTATATTAGGAGATTTAGGTTTCAAGTTCCACATAGGATGATTTATTATTAGTTATGTAGATTACTGAAAAATAATGCAAATTTATAGAGGTAATATTATATAAAATCTTCAGCATGGTACAAGTAAAATTATTAGAGTCGTAGATCTATCTTTTTCATAAGATAGTAAAATCGTGAATCTTCATAAGATGATAAAATTAACTGTTATAAAATTATTGATGTAATAATTTTCATAATTTACAATAAATTAATAAATCAATGTTAAAATAAAAAAAAACCTATAAAAACATGACTAAAAATTAATGGGAATTTTTATCTAAATTGAGTGAATGAGTAAATCTGGTTAAAATAATAAAACAAAATAGTAAATTAGCTTAAGATGATAGATTAAGATTAGATTCCGAGTTTAAAGTTTTCGTATGAGGTGATGATGTCGTTGGTTGGTGATATATTTGATAAAGACAGATCATTTGACTTTCCGAGTTGGCCGCGAACCATTATTCCCTTCCCCAAAATTCCATTCTTTGATTATTCACAGATTGACGATTGTTGTTCCCAAAATCTCTCGTTTTGGCTGGGGGAAAAACATGGTGGACCAATGGAGGGAGGTGATCGGATAAACGAGACGGGACGGACTCACGGGGGAGACCAGGACATCGGATCATCGGAGATGGGGATTCCTTTCGCCGCCAAACTCCGTTTCCGATCCCGGTTTCGATCGTCAATCGACTCTTATTGCTTCGCTCGTGAGGCCTTCTCCGATTGTCGTCTTCCAACTCCCGTCTCCGTCGATTTCTTCTTCTTATAGCAGCCTTTTTGCCTTTCTCTTTTTAATTTCTCCATCTCAATCTCACCCCCTCCCTTCGCCTACTCCTCCCCCTCTTTGTTTTCCCTTTCGATTCCTCCTTCTTCTGCTTTCCCTTTGTTTGTTGTGCATATGGCTTCTGCTTCTGGATTTTTAGGTCAGATATCGGGAATGGAAGAGGCTGAGTTCGCCGAGAAAGATCCTACTGGCCGCTACATCAGGGTAAGAGCACTCAGTCTCGTTTGGTTTAGGTTTTATATTGTTGAATGATGAACAAAATGATCCTCTGGTGATGGCTAGGCTTATATCGATGCGTGTGTTGTTACGAGTTTCAGTTTTTTGGAACAATCCAGCTGAAGATGATGTTGCATTGCTAATCTGTCTAGTATCAGTGTGTTTTCATACAAAATAGTGACCGATTCCTTTGTGTTTTTTATATTTGTGCAGTATGATGATGTACTGGGGAGAGGAGCTTTCAAGACTGTGTATGGTTTCTACACCCCTTATGCTTTATTATGCGTTGGTAGTTGCAAAAGGCAGATCATTCTGATTGTTTGTTTACTTTCCGATAAATCAGATATAAGGCGTTTGACGAAGTAGATGGAATTGAAGTTGCTTGGAACCTTGTGAGCATTGAAGATGTAATGCAGATGCCTGGTCAGCTTGAAAGGCTATACTCTGAAGTTCACCTACTAAAAGCGCTGAAACATGAAAACATCATCAAACTCTTCAACTCCTGGGTCGACGAAAAGAACAAGACTATTAACATGATCACTGAGCTTTTCACCTCTGGCAGTCTGAGGCTGTAAGTTCCTCCTCAGCTTTCTTGTGTATGATGATGATCCTTCATTTTGTTTTCATCTCATTGGTTCCCTTTGGATGCGAAGGTATCGTAAGAAGCATAGGAAGGTTGATCCCAAGGCCATCAAGAACTGGGCAAGGCAGATTCTTAAAGGCTTGAACTACTTGCATTCTCAGAACCCTCCTGTGATCCACCGGGATCTCAAGTGTGACAATATATTTGTCAACGGAAATACTGGAGAGGTCAAAATCGGAGATCTCGGGCTCGCAACTGTACTGCAACAACCCACTGCTCGAAGTGTGATAGGTAATATACCATCAAACACCTTCACTCCTAGGCCATATGGCATATATCTACTGTAACTGACATTATCCAACTGTATTCAGGTACCCCTGAATTCATGGCACCGGAGCTGTATGAAGAGGAATACAATGAGCTCGTGGACATTTATTCTTTTGGCATGTGTATGTTAGAGATGGTAACCTGTGAATATCCATACAACGAGTGCAGAAACCAGGCTCAAATTTATAAGAAGGTCACCTCGGTAAGTCTTCCATCATCTTTGATTTTCACCACAATTATTTTCCAAGCTGGGGCTCCTCTTAGAAACTATGCATCTGCAGGGTATAAAGCCTCAATCTCTCAACAGAGTTGATGATCCTCAAGTTAGGCAATTCATAGAGAAATGTCTCCTTCCTGCCTCGTCAAGACCAAATGCTCTCGAGCTCGTAATGGACCCGTTCCTTGCAAGAGATGGAAGCAAGGGCTCTGCTCTTCTTGCTTCATCAAGCACAGCATCTATCCCTGTGAGACCACCACAGCTTGAACATCTTCCCATGGATGTGGATCATCATAACGAGAATAAAAGTGTCTCCATCTGCTCCTCTCGGAAAAGCAACGAAGAGTACCCCCCCTGGTGCCAAACCATTGAACTTCAGAGGTTTGCAGAGAGTAAAGAGTTCAGGTTGAGAGGAGAGAGGAGCGATGACATCACAGCGTCAATGCTTCTGCGTATCAGTGATTCATCTGGTTCGTTTAAAGAAATTAAAAAAAAAAATCTTATTCCTCAAATACTCTCCGACTTTTCACTTTGCTGAACCAATGAAATGTCCTAATACACAGGTAAAGGAAGAATCGTACACTTTGCATTCTATCTGAATTCAGACACAGCAACAGCAATCGCTGAGGAAATGGTGGAAGAGCTGCATCTAACAAGCCAAGAGGTCATTGTAATAGCTGATATGATCGATGACCTGATTATGCAACTTAGCTCTGAGCGGGCCTCATCGCATCCAAACCAAAACTCTCCGCGTGTAGCAGCCCATGAGGATCATGAAGCAGCAAATCAGCAAACAGCGAACTCGAAAGACGCAGGAGAATCAATGAAGTCAGGGATATCAACAGACTATTACTTACCCTTGTCCTCAAACGGAAGTGCTGCCATGGAATCAGGGCAGGAGGCAGAGTCAATGAGCTCGTATCTTGATTCATGCTCAATGATGTCAACCCTTTACTCTCTTTCCATTTCAGACAACGATTATCCAGAAGATCTCAAGACCGAACTGAACCTGATCGAGTCACAGTTTAACCAGTCCTTCCAAGATCTTGTGAAACTGAAAGAAGATGCTATAGAGAACGCAAAGCGAAAATGGATTATGAAGAAGCAAAAAGGTGTCATCGTCTCCTGATATGCTTTTGGTTCTTATTCTTTGGTCTTCTCTCTCCCCCCTGACATTGGTGTGATTGTGATGATACTTTTTGTGTTTGGATTATTTGATTTGATTATGTAAAAGCTTTGTTTTTTTTGTGTCTACTTAACAAACATAATCTTGACTTATATTATTATTTCTGACAAAATGAGATACAAGCAAAACTGTTGAAAAAAGCTCTACTAATGGTTTAGAAGGTAGACAGATTTTGGAGATAATGGTTCCAGAGATGAGACGCGATCTCATCTCTTAACCTTAAAGAATCTCCCGCTTCGCCATCTTCATGTCCCTCTGTCTCTCCTTGATTCTCCTCTGATGCCTCTCCTCCATCTTCCGACATTGTATCTTGTTCAAACATCCTAAACACAAAGTCATCTGGTTTCTCCAAGCGCACATAGTTGTGCAACGCACACGCCGCGATCACCAGCTTCACTTGCGTTTGTAGAGGATAAGGAGGAGCTGCTAGAAGGATCGGGAATCGTTCTTTCAAGGCTCCAAACGCTCTGTCAATCGCTCGATGCAGCAACTTGTGCCGCTCGTTGAACATCTCCTTTGCTTCTTCTCTGGAGTTGGTTGAAACGCCATGGTATGGCGCCATAAAGCCTGGAAGACTCTGGTACTTGCTGTCCACAATGTAGTACTTTCCTGCATCGCACATGAACGACGATGAATCCACCACACCTTCCTTCTTCTTCAAGAAAAGCAAGCAAAGAGGAAACAATAATCTGTTACCTTGAGGGACATGTAACCTGTTACGCCGAGTCAAAGCTGCGTTGAGAACTTGTTGATCCGAAGCGGAGCCTTCCCAGCCAGCTAACACGTAGTGGAACCTGAGATCAAAGGAAGACGCTACAAGAACGTTCTGTGTAAGGAGTCCATTGCTGTTGCGGAATGGGCCTTGCTCGTCGACTCCAACCATGACCGGTATGTGTATGCAACCAACAACTCCGAGACAGTCTTTGAAATAAGGATCGTCCTCCAGGGAAGGATTCGGATTCGGAGTGGACTGAAAGAAGTCCATGGAGATGGCCATGACGGCGTTCAACACGTTGTTGAAATGGCGGCTGATCGTCTCTCCAGAGTATCTGAAGAGCTCTTGAACAGCTCGAGTTCGAAGATTATGACCGACGATGAAGAGGAAGATCGCAAGCTGCTCCTCGATCTTGATTCGGTTCGTGTGGCGTAATAAGCCTCTGGTTTGGAGGATGTCGCAGAGCTTGTAGAAGACAGGCTTGTCCATTCGAAAATTCTCCAGACATTGTTCGTTCGGACCGTTGAGAATTTGGTATACGAACTTGTCGGAATCCGAAATTGGGGAATCGCCTACTTCTTTGGGCATACAACTCGTAAGAGCTTCTTCTTTGTCTTCTTCGCCGGACATCTCCATAGATGAGTTTGAGAAATTGGAAAGAAAACGGAATAGTATAGCAGAGGAACAGAATCAACAGAAGAAGAGAGATGTGGGTTTCGACGCAGCTACAGAATCTCAATGTGCGAATCAACAATGGAAGATAATTTCGAAATCAAAGGAAAGTGAAGTCTCACATAACGTGTGGATTGTGCCTCCCATCTGTTCGACGGAATGTCTGTTTAGGGTGAAAACCTTTTTTTTTTTTTACAAAGCTTTGAATTTCCATATAAATATAATACAATTTTATTTATTTTGTTAGAGATGTATATTTTACAGATTTATTTATATCTAAAGAAAGTTTATTAACATATTTTGCAGTTACAAATATAAAAAATAACATATTTACAAATAGTGAATTCATCTCTAATTCTATATCAAATCTGGTTTTAAATTTTAATTTGTAATAAAATATGCTTCTAATCCTATCTCATTTTCAGTTACATAATAATAGAATGCTATTTTAATTCTAAATATAGAATTATTTTATTTTGAATTCTATTTTGTAATTGAACTTTTTAATTTATAAACTATTTCTGCAAATTTTAAATATTTTTTTAGGAAATATATAAAAAAATTTATGATAATTTTTGTATGAATGATTATAGTTACTTAAACATTACAATTTCTAAAATTAAAATGCAAAAAACTTTTATTTAATAAAAAATATAGTGATGTAAATCATAATATATTTAATTTTTTGAAAAATATGATCTAACGATGAATAAATTCATTGAACTTGAAATGAAATTCGAATTAACAAACACTGTAAACCGCATCAAATATTGGCGATTTGATTACTGACATACTTAGAAACGCATCTACTCTAGTCTTCCAGCTAAACTCAAGCTCAAACTCCATATCAGATTAAAAACATGATACAAAGATAAAAAAACTTCAATCAACATCACTTTTGCAGACACATCTATGTATACATCATTTGCTGTTTCTTTACCATTGTTCACCATCTTACCTTCAACAATTCTGCAAGCTATGATAAGCAGATTATAGTTGCAACAATTGTATGAATATTTAAATGTTCTAAAGTTTACAACCGTATGAATTTACATAAACAACAAAAACGCATTTCAACTTTTATTTTAAAAGTTTATTTTCACATATTCAATTAATATAACTTTTTAGTTAAATCACTGTACACTTTTCGAACTAATTAAAACATTTAAGATGTTTAAATTAACATCAAAACTATATTGTAAATCAAATATTGTATTAGAAATATACCTCCATCACAATCAAAAATCCTAATTTCATCAAAAGTAGTAGTTAATTTCTAGCAATTATCCCCTTACCCAAGTTCTAAGCTATGCATACTTTAAATATATGCAACTCCAAAAACAGCTCGAGTTTAATTTTGTTACATTTGGATCACCTAAATATCCAGAAGACATCCCACTTCGAGATCCAATACGTTTGTCAACTTCATACATATCCTTGCAGTTTTCACTTTTTTGCCTTTTATTCTCTTTACTATGTCCACCAATACCCACGTCTATTATAGAATAGAAGTTACAAAGCAAATGAGATGGTTTTATCCAACAAGTAAATGACTTATTTTTCTTCCTCGCATTGCCGACTTCTATAAATATCACTTAAGCATCAACATCTATATATCCATTATTACCAGTTTCTTCACCATTGCTCATCTTACATGTGATTACCATCTTAAACCATTCTGCAGGCAATCATGAGCACTTGATGGTCCCCTTCATATAAAGCCCCTCCTATAGGGCCACTGTAGATTCCTAAACCAGATCATTGTTGTAGAAACTGTGTGGGTTTTTAAACGTTTCATAGCTTCTTCTAAAATGTCATATCTCCCACCATTTTTTCATTAGGAATAAATTCCCTTCTCAAATTGCAACTAAAATCTTCTTTTCTTTCTTCAGCGTTGGCAATTGGTATAGACTCTTTTGCAAACTTTTTCAATACATTATAAATACATTATAAAATATATATGTATTTCATCTTAATTTTTACATATCTAATTAGTAAAACTCTTTTTAAATCACTGTGCATTTTTCAAACAAATTGAAATTTCAAAATGTATAAACTAATATCAAAATTATATTGTAGATCAAATATTGTATTTAAAATATCAAATTAAAGCTGATTTCAGCAATTCATCCCCGGAAATTAAAAGATTACAATGAAAAATCACATATATATCATGTATTTCCCTCCATATATGATTGTTGGACGAAATGTCTGGAAATCCAAAACAGTTACATATCTTTATTTTCGTTTTAAACACTAAAAACAGATTAACCTTTGGAACTCAAATGTTACTTGGAAATCTCGTATTGAGTTGTTATGTATTTTGTAAAGTTATTATTTCGCGGAGACATGGTTTCATTATCGTTGTCTTGCATATCATTAACTCATTCACACATAATTCATAAGAAATCAAAATATATTAAAGATAAGATTCCATCCAAGAAAACAAGTCACGAAATGGTCAATCCATTGAAAACATAAAATGCAGAACATAATGAGGTTGCTTGAATTAGAGAGTGAGGGCGGTTCGAGCCATGGATACAGCGCCGTCATAGGATTGGTTTCCGCCGATAAAGCCACTCATGTGGACAAAAACGCAACCGGGAATCTCAGCAGCTTTAGAGAGTTCCTCGTCTCTAAGCCCTCTCCATTGTTCGGGAAGAGCCTTTCGGTTCTCAAACCTGTCTGGTGCAACCGCCACTGCTTGAACTCTCCACTGGTTTCCTCGCTCGTCCTGTTTTCACATTTTAAGAGATACATCAACAAACCAAACCCAAAACGATCTTTATACTCCACTAATTACTAGTTTACATTCACGTTTGTAGAAGCATATCTTAGCATGGTGCTTGAAGGTTACCTGGTAGATGACGTATTTGATGAGGGGTTCGATCTTCATCTCTTGCTCAAGCTCGAACAAGTGAAGCTTCCACTGCTCACCATTGAACCAGAGTTAGTTACAATCTTAAGTCACGAGGAATAGTAGTATGGTCTCTATAAGAGGAATGGAGCGTGGAAGTACTTACAGGGCAAAACTTCTTCAGTTCCATGATCTCACCGCTCGGGTCTGTCTTGAATCTTTCTTCAAGACACTGCATCACGATTGATCGAGCCGGTAACCACGATCTTGCATGAAATCTTACACTCTACAAGGCAATGCCAAAACAAGCTAACAGTAAGCTTATAGTACTCGTTTGAGAAACCTGTTAGGTCTCTTGAAACATATATGTATGGATTCTGCGGTTAGAAATCTTACTTCGAGGAACTCTTTGCCAGCAAGAGCCATTGCACGCTGGAAAGCCTCGTTCTCCTTCTCCTGTGACTGGTCAGGGTCGATCCAATCCAGATTCAATCTTCCGATCCTCGAAGACAGATGTGTGTTGTTCACGTATCTTGGAGGCTTATCAGTATCGTAACGATTTATCCCATTGTCCACAGCATCAATTGCCTGTTCAAGTTGAAGAAGCATAAAGTCAGCGAAACATACAACTCAATGAAGAACAATCAATCTGCACATATACCTCCATGGCAGAAAGAAACTAAATCTGAGATGGAAAATGGATAGTGTGTAATTGAATTACCTCCATGAAGCTCTTGTAGACAGCTAAAAACAACCGAAGAACATCCGGGTGATCTTGATCAACGTTTAGTTCTTTAGCGATGATCTCCTTTCCAAAATGCTGAAGCAAAAAAGAAGAAACAACATTCAGTCTTTTGTCTGTCGGTAAGATCTTGCAAACAAAACTCAGCGAGAATAGGAGCAAGCACCATCTTGTAACTCTACCTTGTAAACGAGACCAGCACTACTGAGCTTGGTGTTGAAGCCATGCCCAAACACCTCTTCGAAACCTTTCTGGTGATGATCATAACGGTCATGGTCCGGATCATAAACACCTCCAACATCAAGCACTGCATCAAGTTCTGCCAATATCTACAAACAAAACTCCAAATCAACAATCTACACATATGTAACATACAGATCGCAGAGATGCATATTCGAGAGCCCGATTTACAATTAAAACCTAATTTCATCAGAAGCAAGCAGTCAATTTCCAGCAATTCAACAATCTTTCCTTTACCCATTTCCCTAAGCCAGACACACAACAATATATGAAACTTTAAAAACAGCTCATGTTTGTTTTTGTTACCTTAGGGTCACGGGTACGGACGATATCAGCGCCGGAGAACTTATCGGCGAGGCGGATCATGAAGCAACCGAGAGCCTCGTCGCAGTGGAAGCTTCCATTGTGAGTGCCGACTTTCTTGACGGAAACCTCCGAAGGCGAAGGAAGAGAGGTAGGAGTAGTAGAGTAAACCCTAACGACGGCAGAAGGAGCCATTGATGCTACGAGAGGAAGACGAAGAGGGAAGAAGCTCAAGTTTCTGATTAAACCTTTCGTTACCGGAAACATGACGATAGTTGATAAATTGACAAATGGGCCTCTTCACTACCTTTTATAAGATACCACAAAGTCTTGGCCCATGGGCCTGAAATTTAAACGAAGGTCTGTCACAAAACTCTGTTCCTTGTTGCATCAATGATATCGAGAATCATTTCATTTCTACCACAAAATTAATAATGATGGCAAAACATGAAAATAAAACTCTTGTTCGATTCATCTACTTGTAAGCTCATTTTGAATCGTATACTTGGGGTAAATAAATATAACCAAGTTGTAGTATAAGACAAGAACAATGCATAGATTTAAAAGTGAAGTATGCATATATTATTTTTTGCTCTTCTTCTTCTTCTTGTATATAGACTCGGAATAGTGAAACTGATGTATGGAAGTATTCATGTGGGCTCTGTAACAAAAATACTCATCATCGATCGTCATTCCATTTTATCCTCGTAGTTTCTCTCGTCCTCTTGTCTTTTAATCGTCACTATCTTTCTCCTTCAATGCAAAAATTAACTTCCTTGTGAGTTACGAGACAAAAATCCAATTCGCAAGTCTTTG